ATAAAGCTTAAATATATAATGCTCTGTTTGGCTCTTTGTTGGAACACTTGCCAACCCTAGCATATTGGCCTTAGGGTTAGAAAGTCTCTTTCATACTTTTGGATTATTTTAATTTTTTTTCTTGTTTTCTTTCATTTTCTTTTTTTTTTTTTTTTTTTTTTTTTTTTTTATGGTAGTTCAGATAGAATCTAGAGTCTTGTACATGCTGGCCAAATGCCTTCCCACTGAGCTATATCCTTATATCTCTATTCTTTTAAGAAAATCCTGTTTGAGGCCAACCTGATCTACAGAGAAAATTCTAGGACAGACTCCAAAGTGACACAGAAAATCCCTGTTTCGAAAAACCAAAAGAAAAAAGAAAGAAGTAAAGAAAATTATTACGAGAGCTGTTGCAGCTGAGCCATAGCACTTATTTATTGGTCAGAAGATAACATTTAGAAGTCAGGTCTGCTTTCTCCATGGGTTCTGGGAATCATATTCAAGTCCTCAAGCTCTGAGCCATCCCTCTGTTCCCCACACTTGTATTTTCTAAGATAGGGTTTCACTAAATTGCCTAAACTAGCCTTGAACTAGCTCTGTAGCCCAGTTAGCCCTTGAACTTGCAATCCCCATGCCTTAGCCTCTAGAACAGTCAGTGCCCTTAACTGCTGAGACATCTCTTCAGCCCCTAAGATCTATTTATTTTTAGTGTATGTGTATGAGGATTTCGTCTGCATGTATGTCACTGCACTACATGAGTGCTTAGTGCCCTTGGAGGTCAGGAGAGGGGACATCAGATCCCCTATAACTAGAGTTATAGATGGTTGTAAGCCTCCATGTGGATCCTAGGAACTGAACACAAATCCTCGTAACTGCTGAGCCATCTCTTCAGTTCCAAAGTTCATAGCTTTAAAAACCAAGCAGTTTCCTTCAGCTCAGGAGAACCATGAAGTTGCTGCTACAGAACTTACTCTGCCCTGCCTGGGGAGAGGTGTGAAGAGTTGGAATACAACAGATGGGTTTCTTGTGGGATCCACCCTAACCACTCTGCTTCTCTGTAGGAAGTTGGAGTTGCCATCTCTGTCTGGATCTGCTGAAGGAGAAAGCATCCATCTACCAGAACCAGAACTCCTCCTGATGTGCCCCCTGCTGCCCACACATCTAAGGCTGTTGCTCTCCTTCCTATACCTTGGTTTTCATACCCTCTTCTTCTTTCACTCTGGTAATCCTGCCAACCTGCCTTTGGCAACAGCACAGGGAGGTGGCGACTCTGACTGCCTCTGGTCCCAAGCCCTCAGGGAGTAAGAAGCAGCATGCTGCCCCAGGGCTGACCTGTGGGCCCAACTTCTCTGCTCTCCAAGAAGTGCATTCACTCTGCTTGCCTTGGGCCCAAGTCCCTGGTAAACACAGGGTTCAAATGGGTTCCTCTAAGAAGGAATATGAGAGCAGATCACTTGTCTCAAGCTTGGCCTAGCCGCCCCCACCCCTACCCTCACCCCCACCCCAGAGTTTCCAGAGTTTTACCCCAGGGGTGAGCCAGGCCTGGCCTTTGCTGGAGCAGCTGGAATGATCAGGCTGAGGTGGCACTTGCTAGGACCTTTTCATACCCCTTGTTCTGCTTCACTTTGCCTCTGCCAAAGCAGTCCTGTGTCTTTTGTCATGCTACATGGGGTCCTGTGCTTTTAATTGGGATGCTCTCAGGCACCTCCTGGCTCTGTCCTGTTCTACCCAGTCCCACAAAGAGACAAGCAGCTTCACCTGTCCTTCCTGTGCTTGGCTGGCTCGCTCACAGGTTGTCTCTGGCAATCTAAACATTTCCCATCCTCAGAACTTTGAGTCTTCTGCCTCCTTCCTTATTCCCTTTGGTTTTGTGGAAGAGAGGGACAATGTCAGGGGGCTGTGCCAGCAGCTTGGGGCCATAAGGAAAAGTTGGATAATGTGCCTGTTTTTTAACTCGATAAAAAAGCCTACCTCCAAAATCTCCTTTTCGTTCTTCCTGGACCTGGGCATTCAGCCTCCTGCCCTTAACTGAATCAGGAGCCTCTGCCTCCTGCCTGTGTATCTTGACTCTGGGTCACAGGGAGGTCCCCTTTCCTTGCACGCTAGCTAGCAGCTGGTAAAGTCTTCACACCCTGATTTTTATGTTTCCTGCTTAGTGGCACTGACATTAAGTAGGAGGGGACAGTTCATGCCAGAACACTTTGGAATGGCCTTTCTCCTTGGCTGTGGGCAGGCCCTGACTTGTTTTCTGCAAAGTTGAGGCCCCCTCCTCCCATCTTTAGTTCCTGTATTCAAAACATTAGTAAAAATAAACATTTTTACACAGAGGCCTCTAATGGATGGTTTGTCTCCTAACTGCTTGTTGAAAAATCCTTTCATTTCCTCCCCCCCCCCCCAAACCAGTTTCTCTGTGTAGCTTTGGAGTCTATCCTGGCACTCCCTCTGTACACCAGGCTGGCCTCGACTCAAAAAGATCTGCCTGTCTCTGCCTCCCAAGTGCTGGGACTAAAGGCATGTGCCGCCACCACCTGGCCTGAAAAGCCATTTCATTTCAAACTTACTTTCTTAATTAGAGTGGTTTTTTGAAAAATTGAAACAACCTTTTCTCCCAAAATCAAAATTTTTGCTGAGCTCCACCATATAAAATTTTTGTTAGTTTTGGTATAAATTCAAGCTTACAACCATTTATTATTATAAAGAAAAAAATGAAGCTGTTTTGATTAATACAAAAAGTGAGTTAAAATCAACTTTAGCACCCTATTTATTTCTATGCCTTGGATGGTTGGGAAGACAGCTGTGTAGATGGAGGTGTGGCAAGTCTATGGCATTGTGATGTCAAGTGTTGAAAGTGGGCATCAAAGCTTGTTAATGGTATAAATGCAAAGGAATTTTGTTTTGGTTTTGTTTTTCCGAGACAGGATTTCGAGACAAGCTTTGGAGCTTGTCCTGGAACTAGCTTTGTTGTAGATCAGGCTGGTCTCCTCCTGCCTCTGCCTCCCTGGTCCTGGGATTAAATGTGTGGGCCACCAACACCTGGCCAAATTCAAAGGAATTAAAGGAGGACCTGGAGGCCAGCTCAGCAGGCAAGTCTGCTTATTGCTTTTGCAGAAGTTAGCACTCATATCCAGTGGTTTACAACCAACCATAAATCCAGTTCCGGGGGTGGGGGGAGTGGGGGGGTCTTATTTCCTTTGGCTGGGCTGGTCATCTTCATTCAATGTGCAAAATCCCCACACTCTGGGCTCTATACATATGCAAACCAGTTATGTCTTCCTGGGACAAAGAAGGCTTTTAGATGATAAGGGCAGCCAGGAAGAGAATAACCTCAAGTCTTGTCATGTGATACGCCTTTTCATTGCCTGCAGTACTGCTAAACCAGAACTGTCCATAACGTAGCCTTCTAGCATTCCCAGGCTATTTATATACTGACAGTAAGTCACACTAGTACTTTTGTGGTACATAATGGATCTTGTATGGCTTGCTTGACTATATATTGACTTTTTAAGAATTATGTGAGCTGACCATGGAGGCACAGGCTTAAATCCCAGAAATTCAGAGGCAGGGGGAGGTGGACCTCTGAGCTCAAGGCCAGACTGGGCTACAGAGAATTTCAGGACAGCTAGGCTACACAGAGTGACATCCCCTGGAGCTGGAATTACAAGTAGTTTTGAGCCACTGAAATGGATGCTGGGAAGTGAACTCTGGTCTTTGTGGAGGTTTTTTGTTTAGTTTGAAGTGTTTTGCCTACATGTATGTCTGTGTACCAAGTACACAAGATAACCTGGAACTGGAGTTAAACGTGGTTTTGAGTCACCAAATGGATGCTGGGAATGAAATCCAAGTCCCTTGAAAGAGCAGCCAGTGCTCCTAACAGCTGAACCATCCCTTCAGTGCCTCAACTCAGGTCTCCTGTCAGTAGTACACACTCAAACTGCTGGTTTTAATTCTGTATAACTGGGAGATGGCTCAGGCAGTAAAAGCACTTGCCATGTAAGCCTGTCCACTTGAATTCTGTCCCAGCATCCCAGTTAGGAATCTGGGTGCTGTATTATGTGTCTGTTATCCCAGTACTCTTAGAGAGACATAGGAGGCAGAGACAGAATCTAACATCCAGCTGGATTGGAGTGTGCCACACTGCAAAACCCTACCTCAACAAGGAAGAAAATTTCTCCCAAAGATTGTCCCCTTATTTCCATGCTAGTACCATGGCATGTGTGACCTACACACATGCACATATTTGATTTTGGGGTGGGGGTGGGGCTTTGGGTTTTTGTCATGTAGCCTAGGATGTCCTCGAGTGTGAAGCCTCATGCTTGCCTTTTTTTTTTTTTTTTTTTTTTTTTTTTTTTGTTAAATCTGATTCACTTAAATACTTGTGTGTCACCAGATTTTTCTGGTACATCCTGAGGTCATTGTTGCCTATTCAAAAGCTGAGCTCTGCATTTGGTAAATTGGCAGAGTGCTGTGGGCTCTGAGATGTGCTCTACATGTCCTGCTAACTGAGACATAAGTAGAGGGAGCCAGGCAGCAACTGAGTACTTTTGAGGGCCAGGAAAGAAATGTGCAAATGAGACCGCTGAAATAAACTTAGGAGGAAATGCTGGTTTTCCAAGAAGCACTTGGAGAAACTGAAAATACAGAAAAGTAGGGTCTGGGCTAACCAAATGTTAAGGAAGGAAATAACTTTGGAGGCACCAAAACTGGTTTTAAAAAAAAAAAAAAAAAAAAAAAGGTCTTTTCCCGTTCCCTCAGGCCTGTTTCTAGCAGGTTAGTGAGACCGAAGGCCAGCACTGTCCATGGTAACTGAGTTTTGTGGGTTAAAGCTTACATGCGTTCGTTTTCTCATTTCATTTTGTTTTCAAAACAACTTTGGGAGGGCCGGTATCCCTGCTTGGCACCCCATGGGGATGGGGTTGAAGCCACCTGGGTCACTGCCTTGGGACGCCGGATAATCGGCTCCGAGGCCGGGTCCTCCCGCTAGACCCTTGGTCGGGTTCCCGCCCCTCAGCGCGGGAGGCTCCTCCTCCAGGGGGCCGACGAACCGCCACTTCCTCAGCGTCCAATGAAACGCAGTCGGGGGCGGGACAAGTGAAACTGGTGGCCAATCAAGCTTGTCAAGGTGGGGCTGCTGAGGGGCCCAGCCACGGTTTTCCCAGCCTTGACAGAGTTCGGCGCGCGCGGGTTCCTGTTGTGTGCGCGCCTGCTGCCCGTGCACCTCCTGGGAACGCTCTGCCCTCGGGGTCTCGGCGCCCGTCCCTCTCTGGTTCTGCGGTAACCTAGCACACCCGGGCCCAGGAGCCTGGCTGGGGCAGGAACGGGAGGCGCAGAACAGCGCCTGGAGGTGGGTGCGGAGCGGGAGTCCGGGCTGGCGGGCGGGCGGGCTGGATCGATGCCTGGGTCCGTCTATCCGACTGACCCGCGGTCAAGGCGGGGCGAGCCCGGATGCAGAGGCAGCTGGGGCTGCCTGCTCTCGACACCTGCTCCCTGATATCCCTCCAGACTACCTACCGCCGGCGGGAGACATTCCTCCCCTTTTTGCTGCCCGTAGCCTCCTCACACACACACACCCGTCACCCTTTGTCGCCTTGGCACCCTCACTCTCCTCCCTGCCCTCCACTGCTCTTCAGGCTGAACTATTGACTAGCCTTACCATCCCGCCTCGCCAGCACCAAATCAAGCCCCATCCATTTGGCTTTGTCATCTGTATCATCTCACCTGTTCACTTCAACTCTGTCCATTCAGTCTACCACCCGTCTCCACTCAGCAGCAGCACCAAAATTCAGCCCAGACCTTCCTCCCCCATCTTCTTCAGGGGTTTCCTCCCTGGCCACTCTGAATGCCCTCTACACCTGCATTACTCAGCGTTAGCCCCAGGCCTCTGTCATTGCTCCTTTGTTGTCTATACAGCTGTCCCCTGACAGTCCTTATAGCAATCCCCTGATCTCTAGTCATATTTTTCCACCCCATCAGTGACAAACCCTAACCCAGAATTCCCTCTGCCTCTGACCAGAGACACCGTGCCAGATCTGTTCTGGCAGTCTCCCTCAGCCTATCTTCCAACTGGTCTGGTCTCACCTACCTGTGTGCATCCCAGCAGAGTGCCTTGTCCTATAACGTCCTGTGGCACCCTCTCCCACTTTTGTTCCCCAGCAGGTGCCCTAAAGAGTCATGGAGCTGAGCACAAAAAAGAAGCTTCACGCCCTGTCCCTGGCTGAGAAAATCCAAGTGCTAGAACTCCTGGATGAATCCAAGATGTCCCAGTCAGAAGTGGCCCGGCGCTTCCAGGTCTCCCAGCCCCAGATCTCGCGTATCTGCAAGAATAAGGAGAAGTTGCTGGCAGATTGGTGTAGTGGCACAGCCAACCATGAGCGCAAGCGGAAGCGTGAATCCAAGTACAGTGGGATCGATGAGGCTCTACTCTGCTGGTACCACATTGCCCGAGCCAAGGCCTGGGATGTAACAGGGCCCATGCTGCTCCACAAGGCCAAGGAGCTGGCCGATATCATGGGCCAGGACTTTGTGCCCAGCATTGGCTGGCTGGTCCGCTGGAAACGCCGAAACAATGTGGGCTTTGGGGCTCGCCAGGTCCTTGCCCCTCTGTTCCCTCCTGAACCACCTCCCCCTGAACTACCATTCCAGGTCCAGCCACCTCTTTCCCTTAAAGACTTCTCACCAGAAGATGTTTTTGGCTGTGCTGAAGTGCCCTTGTTGTATCGGGCAGTGCCTGGCGGAGTGCTGGCATGTGATCGCTTGCAGGTACTGCTGTGTGCCAACAGCAGAGGCACAGAAAAGCGAAGGGTATTTGTGGGTGGGCTCCAAGCTGCCCCAAGATGCTTCTTTGGGATCAACGGTGAAGCACTACCCGCCTCTTACCACCCTGATCTCGCCATCCCTTGGTCAGAATGGCTGGCACAGTTTGACCAGGACATGGGACAGCAGGGCCGGCAGGTAGCCTTGTTACTGGCTGCGGGAGTGTCCATGGAATGGGCCTGCCTTCCTGAACTCCACCATGTGCGACTCCTGCCTCTCTCTGCCTCCAGCACCACACCCTCCCTGCCTGGCTCTGTGATTTGGGCCTTTAAGGCCCATTACCGTCACCGTCTGCTGAGCAAACTGGCTGCCATGCAGAATGGGAGAGGAGGCCCCTCACTGGCTGAAGCCAGGGCCAGCATCACAGTGTTAGATGCTCTGCATATGGTGGCAGCAGCTTGGGCCAAGGTGCCTCCTCAGCTCATTTTGAGCAGCTTCATTCAGGAAGGGCTTGCTCCAGGCAAAACACCACTGTCTCTGGACAAAGACTCAGAGATGTCACCAGTCCCAAGAGGGCTGAGTCAGGAGGAGTTTTCCCACTTTGTGGACCTAGAGGATGAGGACCCACGGCCTAGAGTATACAAAGAGGAAACTGGTACTGAAGACGTTGGGAGGGAAGAAGACTTGGAGTCCCTGCCCACCAAAGCTGACGCCCTGAGAGCACTGTGCACCTTGAGGAGGTGGCTTGAATGTAACAGCACCTCTCCAGAGCCCTTTGGAAAATTCTATGATTGTGAATTGGAGGTGGAGCAGCTGTGCTGTGTGTGAAGAAACGTGGCAGCCTGCAGAATTGTCCTCTCCTGTTTCCCATGGAAACCTCTCCAGAGGCAGACTGGCTCTTTCCTGTGGAAATAGCGTTTGGAGGGTGTAGAAGGGAAGGGAGTTGGGACAAAAAGTCTAAGGTCAGTTGCCTTAGCCAACTGAGAATCTGGGCCATGTAGCTTCTAAGCAAGCTCTGGGGGGCAGTTAGTCTAGAGAGGCTGGAACCTAGAAAGTGAATTATTTTTTGTTTGTTTTTTGAGACAGGGTTTCTCTGTGGCTTTGGAGCCTGTCTTGGAACTAGCTCTAGTAGACCAGGCTGGTTTCGAACTGAGATCCACCCGCCTCTGCCTTCCGAGTGCTGAGATTAAAGTTGTGTGCTACCACTGCTCAGCAAAAGGTGGACTTCTAACAGATGACCCCACCCCTTAAATTTTGTGTCAAAACCAAGTCTGTTTCTGGAAATAAAATTTTTAACCAGAAAGGGTCAGAATGTGGATTTTTCTTTTTTCTTTCTTTATATTTGAAATGGGATCTCATGTAGTCTGTGAACTTGCTGTGTAACTGAAGATAGTTTTGAATGTTTTAATCTGCTTGCCTCCCACTCCCGAATTCCATGATTATAGGAATTTGCCACCATACCCTGATTGATGTGGTGCTGGGGATTAAACCCAACCCAGGGTTTTGGGGCATGCTGAGCTAGTCTCTCAGGGCGTGGTTTACAGGAGAAAGAGCTGGAGTCTGAAGACTTGACACAAGGGGCCTCCTCGTGGGCCACACCTATGAGGAGGAAAGTGTGGTGCACTGGCCAGGATCTGGATTCATTCATAAGAATTTTTCATCCACTTTGGTCACCACAGTTGCTTTTTCATCAAGGCCTTCTATGCGAGAAGATTGCAAAGGGGACATCTTTGCTAAGCAGGACTGGAAAGTCTATGACTGACTTGTGCAGAGTACTTTGGCCCCAAAGCTGGGTGAAACCACTAGAGGTGAGCTGCTTTTGTTGTTTGTGTGTGGGTGTTGTTTTTGTTTTTGAGACAAGATTTCACTCTGTAGATCAGGCTGGCTTTAAACTAGAGATCTGAGGGTTAAAGACATGTGCCACTGTGCCCAACCTTGTTGTTTGTTTTTAAATTTTTAAAGTATGTATGATGGAGGAGGTGTGCGCACACACATACACACATGCTACCATGCATGTATGGAGGCCAGAAAAGAACTTTGTGGAGTTGCTTCTCTCCCTTCACCTTTCTGTGGGTTCTGGGAATTAGACTCAAATATCTAGGCTTTTGTGGCAAGTGTGCTTACCATTGAGCCATCCCACCTACCCAGTGGTGAGTTTTGATATGTAGACCACTGAATAGAGAGAAAAGAAGGATGACAGGCCAAAAGACCAATTGGGGGTGAGGGAGCACCCCAAGAGTATGGAGTTGCCACAGACTGCTCAGTGGGCAACGGGTCTGTGTGGAGACCAAAACTTGGATGACCAGGTCAGGAATGGCTTCAGCGTGACAGACAAACACAAACACACTGCGATTTTTACTTTAGAGTATTGGGTTTTTATGCAGAAAGTTCAAGGAACAGATCTTTGGCCACAGTTTAAAAATTTACAGACATTCTATAGAAATGTTAGTAATTTCCTTGAAGCATGAGATCATAAAAACATCTAAGTAAGTGCATAACCAGAAACCTCTTTCTAATTTGGCCTGCCTGTGGTCAGCGTACCAGAGATTTGGTTCACTGAGTTTAGAGAATAGTCATTGTCTCTGACCAGTAAACTTTTAACAGCATTGATAAGAACTCTTGTGCCGTTTTACTGATTTTAGAGAATAATCATTGTGTCTGATCAGTAAACCTTAACAGCATTGTTTTAGGGGCCCTAAGATCCCAAGTTTAGAGTTTTGTAGTAAATCCCACAGCAGCTTTGCAGGGTCACACTGTGGGCAAGTTCCTACAGCTTCATCTCTATTAACTTATCAGGCCTTGGGCTGTCACCTGGAGTCTCAACCTGCGCCGTAGGTTTTGTAATTGAGGGCACAGAGGACAACATCCATCTGCTGATCGCTAGTCTGCATCTCTTTCAGTTCGTGAAACTACATCTAAGTGTTCTCCAGGCTTCTCTGAACTAACAGTGGAGCTACAGGCCAAAACACCCATGACCAAAAGCATTATTGTTATCATAGCACAAAATACACCCAGCACCCGTTCCATTCAGCCAGCCAAGCAAGCACCTGCAAGGACCTGGCCACTTCTTCCCAGGGGGCGAAACCACTTGTGGTTCGAACCTCTGGAAGGGTAGCCATTCGAGATTCTTCTCAACCATTGCTACACCGTTCCCACTGGAGCTGGTGTGGCATGGAGTTTGAAATGTGTGAAGGGGGTGAGGGAGCACCTGAGTATGGAGTATGGAATGTGTGGGGGCAAGATGTTGTGAGAGCACCCAGTCAATTGAACAGCTAGTAAGCCTGTCTTAACTGTGGCTAGCTGTGAGTGTTTACAGTGTGACACTCTATGGTCACTTAACTGAGGGCTATTTGAGGTCTAGCACTCTGACCAGGTCATTCTTTATACTGGAAACTTGTTTACATTGGCAGACACCCTGTGGCTCTTATCTGTTTTGTGTCTAATTCATCCATCACTGTGGCACTAGGAGCTAGACTGTGTTCTCCCTGTGAGTAGAGAGGACAGTCTGGGGACAGCATACACTAGCATGACATATAAGAGAACAGGATGCAGATCAACTCATTCATTCATTCAGTGTTGGAATGAAACCAGGACCACTAAGTCCTTTTGCTTTTGTCCTTTGTTTGTTTGTTGTTTAAGATTTGGGAGGTTGCCTGGCGTGACACCTTTAATCCCAGAACTGGGGAGGCAGAGGCAGGTGGATCTTTTTGAGTTCAAGGCCAACCTGGTCTACAAATTGAGTTCCAAGACAAACAGCCAGGACCGTTACACAGAGAAACCCTGTCATGAGAACCACCCCCCTCCAAATTGGGAGGTTTTGCTAAAGTTTTAAGATTCATTTTTATTTATTTTTACATTGTGTACTGAAAAAAGTGCCCAATAATTTGAAACCTGCAAGTGTGCCCATATTGTCTTGTGACCAAAGTTATATAATGGATGGAAAACTTCCTCAGAAAAATAACTATAAATCATAAAAAACAATCACTGTCTCTACTGAGATTTCTTCAAGGTCTGGGTACCATCAACAAATACTAATACATCCTACTGTTATCCTAGATACAGTGATAAACAACTATTACATTGTAATGTTTACCCTAGTTACAATGATTACTAGATTCCCACTACAACTCACTTATTTCTCTTATAATTAATAATGTTGAAAACCTTTTAAAATACCTGCATCCTTGTGTTTGTTTTCAATCCTGCTACAGTATACAGAATAGTGGGTTACAGGTGTGTACTATGTTTTAAAATTTTATTTATTTTTATTTTATGTGCATTGGTGTTTTTCCATGGATGTCAGGTCCAATGGACTGGAGTTACAGACAGTTGTGAGCTGCCATGATGGTGCTGGGAATTGAATCTGGGTCCCCTGTAGTAAATCCCATGCCTCTGGAAGAGCAATCAGTGCTCTTACCTGCTGAGCCATCTCTCCAGCCCAGGTATGTACCCCTTTACTGAGTTCTTTTGTTTGGTTGGCTGATCAGTTTTAGTTTTTCTTGTTATTTGAGTAGGGTCTCACCATGTACCTCTCATTGGCCTGGGACTGACTATGTAAACCATGCTGGCCTGGAACTCACAGATCCTCCTGACTCTGCCTCCCGGGTGTTGTGATTAAAGGTGTGTGTGCAACTCCTTGTCCAGCTTTTGCTGGCTATGTCTTTTTTGGGGAAAATGTCTATTCAGAGCTGGGTGTGACACTGTGTCTCAAAGAAAGATAGATGGCTGTATATCTAAGGACTCTGCTCATTTTCATCTCGTTTATTATGTTTGGAGAAGTTTTCACCTTTCAGACTTAAACACACACTATGTTGTGTGCCAGCTCACTTCTAGAAAAAATGTGTAATTGCTTTCTCCGGACACAAGGGGGCACAAAGAAGACACAATGTTAGCTTCTCAGAGGCGGGCTCCAGGAAACAATATGGTTCCCAGTTCTCTGGGGAAGCCAGACCTTACTGTCTGGAAAAAAGCAATTTTCTTTTCCTGGTGGCTGGAAGTTTTCCAGTTCACCTCTTTACTGGTGGAGCCCCCTGAGGTTCTTGACTCAGTTTCTGAGTCTTGGATGCAGCTTCCCCATGCCTGACAACTCAAGGGTAGCATGCTATTCCCAGGCTCTCCGAGGCTTTCAGCTATGTATGTAATAATTATCTGGAATCTAGTTGCTTATAGAGAACAGTGCTATTAGAGTACTGGCCAGAGAGGAAACTGGGACAACCAGTTTTCTTTCTTTCACTCATTTTGTTAAACCTTTTTTGTTTTTGTTTTTTTGAGACAGGGTCTCTTATCTAGCCAAGGACAACCTTAAATTTCTGATCTTATTGCCTCCACCTACCTAGTACTAGGGTTACAGGTGTAAAGTCATCGAGTATGTGATACTCGATGCAGAGTTTTTTACATAAACACAGGTCCTCTACCCCCTGAGCTGCATCCCTAGGCTCCAAAACCATTTCTTGGACAATCCTCTATGCAACTCTAGTTTCGATGAAAAGCAATTAGGAGTGGAATCTTTGCTCCATGGAGTTCATGATTTAGAGGGAAAGATAGAATCACACGGAAAAGACACTCCGGAGGGGAACATGTAATTACAGATCGAGGAAAAGGGGTGGCATGAAAAACATGCCAGTGGCTCTCAGTGTGTTGCCCACACCTTCAGTCACATCTGAGAACTTACCCTCCAAACACCTGAGTCAGAAACCCTGAAATTTGACTCAGCAAGCTGTACTTGAACAAAACCCACCAAGTGCTTCTGAACCATGGGTACAGCCCAAAGAAACTGTAAGATGTCTCAAAGGAGCTTAGAGCTGGAAGGTGATGGGGAGGTACACCCTCAGTGAGAAGAGCCTGTGCGAATGTCTTGTGGTAGGAGAGAGCCAGGTGTGTTTAGCAGAAGTAAGTTAAGACCTTCATCACCAGGTGGTCATGGAGCACACTTTTAATCCTAGCACTTGGGAGGCAGAGGCAGGCAGATCTCTATGTGTTCGAGGCCAGCCTGGTCTACAGGCTCCAAAGCTACACAGAGAAATCCTGTCTCAAAAAACAAAACAAGAAAAACATTCATCAACAGCAAATGTCTAAGGACCTTCCCTGCTGGGAGAAGGAATGCTAAGTAATGAGAAGTCATGAGAGAGTAAAGTGACTGTTTAGGTTTTTGAGGCAGGGTTACTCTGTAGCCCTTGCCTTGTAGACCAGGCTGACCTTGAACTGAGAGATCCGCCTGCCTCTGCTCCCGAGTGCTGGGATTAAAGGCCAAGTTTTTTTTTTTTTTTAATATTTTTATTATTTTGTGTGGGGATGTTTCCCTCCCAAGTATGGATATGTACTCACATGCAGTACCCACAGAAGTCAGAAGAGGGCACCAGATCCTGCAGAGCTGGATGTTGTGAGCTGCCCTGTGGGTGATGGGATTTGAACCTGAATCACTTCTTAATCACTGAGCCATCTCTCCAGCCCTTCAGGCAGTTTTAAAATCTAATTTGGCAACTGAGATGGATAATAAGACAAATGTAAGGAAGGATGTGGGCAAGGAGAGACATTCTAGGAAGGAGCCAGGACTAGGGGTTGGAAGGTTCAGCAGACATGTGTGGTCAGAGCAGAGACAGAAAGGGACCATCAGTACTTCATCAAATGAAACTTTATTGCATGTATCTGTTCAAGAGACAAGTACATCCTTACCACAAGACTCACAGATTAATGACTCAGAGGAGCAAAACAACTAACCATGAAGCATCACACAGAGCTATGATTGAGGTAGGCAGGGGCTGGGGTTCCTGGGTACTCACAGTCAGGGCTGGAAGGGCCCAAGAGATAGAGCTCTGCCTGGGTCTGAGAGGAGAGTAGGCCACTGGAAGGACAATAACTACACCCCACTGAGCACTCCTGGGACATGAGGGACCACAGCAGGAAGTGGCCAAGAGAGAGGACCACTTAATGGGGCAGGACAGCCAGGAGCTAGGGACCTGGGTTTCCCTGGAGGTAATGGAAACCACTGAAGGATTCTGTACAGGAAGGAGACAAGTCATTCTCCTGTCTAGGGGAATGGTTTGAGCCCCATGGCTGGGTGGCACCAGGACAGTGACTGGTCCCTGAGAGCTCTTTCAGAGGGGCAGTTGTGACATGGTGTTCTGGCTTATTTGTATGTGCCTTGTGCCCCTGCTTTCTGAAATGAGGTGGACTGGAGATGAGTGTGACTTGGAGCTGTACAGGGCCAGATTCATCGGTTTCTTGCAAGTTGGTTCCTTAACTCTCTGGGTGATGTATGGCACCTCTTGCTTTTATACCTGCAAGCTGGGTTCTTTAGCTTGATTTTCCAAGCTGCTGTCAGCCATGACCCTGCTGTGGAGTTGCTGGCATGGCGTGGCATGGCCTGGCCAGGCTCATCTCCACAAGCTCAGCAGATATTCATAGCTAAGGAAGGTGGCAGCATTGACAGGAAAGGCACGGGCACTATTGAGGGTCATGCCCTTGAAAAAGACTCCTATTCCCTCCTGCTGGAAGCTGCTTGCCATACAGTCCAGCATCCCCCGGTACTTTCTCCCCTTCAGCCCGTCCATCTGCATCCGGGACTTGATCACATCAAAAGGCGTGGCTGTGATCCAGGAGGCTATGCCTGCAAAGCCCCCTGCCACCAGTACTGTGGCAGAGCCTGGGGCAGAGAAGTCAGGGTGGAGTCAGTCTATAACAGAGCATCTCCCCAGCCCTTAGTCCCCACCCTAACCTCTGCTGTACCCCCACCCCACCCCACTTACTGGGATTTTGGCCTTCTGGTGTGTACTGGCGACATAGCCCTTCATAGGTGACAAAGTACATTCCCAACGTAGGGGTGTCCCTCAGCACCAGGGCCCAGGATCCTCTAAACAATCCCTGTGGTCCTTCTTCTCTTAAGATGGAGGCTGCACAGTGTACAGGACCCCGGTACCGGGGTTCAGAACTCCCTATTTGCATCCTTGGCTCTGTCTGGTTTTGTAGCCGGACTTTGATGAGGTCAAAAGGAGCCAGGCAGTAGGCCTGTGGAGAAAGACATGGAGGGGACTGGGTGGAGCTTATGCCTGGGAAAATCTGCTTATCATCACAATAGTGCAGAGAGGCTCCTGCTACCAGCTCCTAGCCTCCCACATACATGGCTTGGTTTGGCCAAGTATCTGGGTACAGTTGAGAACAGACTGCCTCCCTTACTATCAGGCCTGATAAGCTCAACACTGATCCCTCCCCCTGAGATAGCAGGATAGCAGACACAGGAGCTCAAGGACAAGTAGGAGTGGGCTTCTGGGCTCCCTGACTCCAGGGAGGAGCAAGTTTGCAGTGGCTGGTTCAGCCCATAAGCATTAAGGGTGAGGAGCTGATGCTGCAGATGAAGGCACCGGCATTGTTCTAAAACAGACCTAACATCATAGCGTCTCCTTCCTCCCTTCAATACCATGCCTTTGAGGCCCTAGGGAAGCCCTCCCTGCTTCTGACCAAAAAGACTGTTAAGGATGAGATGGTCAGTAAGGTGGGATTTCATAGGCCCTAGAGTCCTTGGAGAGCCAGGATGCAGACCTGGGGTGGATTGGCCTGGGCTGGAAGGATGTGGGGAGGAGGAGGTCACCACACCAGTGAGGTGTGTATCTCTGTCAAGCAGCTAGCTGGTCAGGGTGATCATGCATTTAATCTCAACATTCAGGAGGCAGAGGCAGAAGTAGGCAGATCTGTGAGTTAAAGGCCAGCCTGGTATACATAGCAAATTCCAGGCCAGCAAGGGCCACAAAGTGAGGCCCTGTCTCCAGAAAAAGTGGTAGCAGCTGCTGAAGCTCAAGTGAGGTTCCATCTGGGTGTGTTGGGATCATGCCTTCAAAGAGAGTACAAAGAGTTCAAGACTAGCCAGAGCTACACAGTGAGTTCCAAGTCAGGCAAGGCTGTAGCAGAATGAAACAGTCTCAATAAAACAGTCATGGGGCTAAACAGATGGCTCAGCAGTTAAAAATACTGGCTACTCCTACAGAGGACCTAAATTCAATTCCCAGCACCCACATGGAGCCTGTAACTTCAATTGCAGGGGATCCAACACTGCTCTGTAGACAACAGGGTTGTACATGGTACACAGACATGCATGCAGGCAAAAACATCCATATACATAAAATAAAAAATAAATTAATTAAAAAACACTTATTAAAAAAAGAAGAAGAAGAAAACAACCAGGGCTGGAGAGGTAACTCGGTAAGAGTGAATACTGCTTGCCGAAAGGACCTGAGTCTGGATCCCAGCACCCATATGGGGCAGCTCACAACTGCCTGTAACTCTAGCTCCAGGAGATCATATACGCTCATCTAGCCTCCACAGGCAGAATTTAAATTTAATTTTAGGATTAAAATTACTCTTTTTTAAAAAAAGAATCAAAACAGCTGGGCATTAGTGGCGCACACCTTTAATCCCAGCACTAGGGAGGCAAAAGCAGGCAGATCTCTGTGAGTTCAAGGTCAGCCTGGTCTACAAAGCAAGTTCCAGGACAGCCTCCAAAGCAATACAGAGAAACCCTGTCTCAAAAAAAATCAAAGAAAATACCAGATGATGGTGGCACACATGTTTAATCTTAGCACTCAGGAAGCAGAGGCAGAGGCAGGTAGATCTCTTGAATTCAAGGCCAGCCTGATCTACAGAGTGAGCTCCAGGACATCCAGAGCTATACGGAGAAACCCTGTCTTAAAAAAACAAACAAACAAAAATCAAAGAAAACTGTTCACAGTGTCACATACTATCATCTGAGCCTTTAGGAGGAGGAGGCAGGGTCCTGGCTGGAGATGACTTGTCACTGGTGTGCATTTGGTGTCTGTCTGGCTAGAAGCACATGTATCCTGATGTTCAGCTCTAGACCTGGTTGGTAGAGGGGCTGGCAGTGGGCTTTAGCAGGTACAGCCCACACTGCACACTTCTGCCTAAGTGGAAGGCGGAGCCCCTTTACAAGATGGGGCTGATGCTCCTCCCAGAGCAGCCAGCAGGGCTGAGCTGAAACTTTCAAGGGGGTGGACTCGCAACATGGAGCTCCAGGCCTGAGTCAGGAACCATGGAACATAAAGGGTTACTAGTTAGGGCAGCTTTGATCAGGCCACAAGCAATGTGCCACCAGAAGCTGTCAGCTCCTGCCCTACCACATCACCGGTACACAAATGGCTTCAAAACCCTGTTGACAGATGATCCAGTAGACCCTGGCTTCTAGCAGGTTCCTGGACCAAGTCACCATTTATGGACCTAACAGTCTCTGGTTCTTCCTTTCCAAGAGATGAGGAGAAAGTAATTGAGAAGTAGTGTCTGACTAGGCCTAAGTCAAGTCACTTTCCTGAGGGTCTTAGGTCTCTTACTATATTTGAGGGGTACAGGCCTCAAGGCATCAGAAATATGTGGGCACATGTCAGTATAATAAAGAGACATAAAGCTTGGTTTGGTAGCATATAACTAATTCCAGAATTTGGGAGAGAGGCCAGAGGATTGTTATAAATTTGAGATTCGTCTGATCTACACAGTGAATTGCAGGAGGGGGTTGGAGAGATGGTTCAGTGGTTAAGAAAACTCATTGCTCTTGCAAAGCACTGGAGTTCTGTTCCCAGCACCTACATGGTAGCTCAAAACCATCTGTAGTAACTTTCGTTCCAGGAGATCCAAAACCTTCAGGCCTCTGCAGGCACTGCACACACATCACACACATGGTACTCATACATGTATGTAGGCAAAACACTCATACACATAAAATTTTAAAAAAGGGGTCTAAAGAGATGGCTCAGCAGTTAAGAGCACTGGCTGCTCTTCCAGAGGTCCTGAGTTCAATCCCCAGCACCCACATGGTGGCTCACAATCACCTGTAATAGGATCTGATGCCCTCTTCTGGAGTGCATGAAGACAAGATAGCTCACTCATATACATAAATAAATATTTTTTTTTAATTTTTAAAAAATAATTTTTTAAAAAATAAATGGATGAAGCAAGAGTGGGGCAGGCGGTTCACGCCTTTAGTTCCTGCACTTAGGCAGAGGCAGGCAGATCTCTGAGTAGGAGGTCAGCCTGGTCTACAGAGCGAGTTCCCAGGACAGCCAGGGTTACACAGAGGAATGCTGTCTACAAACAAGACAAAATAAAACCTACAAACAAATAAGTAAAAGGAGGTGCAAGAGAAGGAAGAAGAGAAGAAAAGCCAGGACTCTCTGGGGTCTCTTTAATCATTAACCACTGGCATGCACACCCTGACTTTGTCCTCTGATCCTGCTCTCTGCCCCATGAAGTATCAGTGGCATCAGGGCAGGTACCCATTAGAGGGTCACCCAGGAGCCTATCTGGGGTGTAGGGTTGAACTGGCATCTGTCCCTTTGTCCCTTTCTGCTCAGATACTCCCTTTAGCTCAGGTCCCCTCTAGGGCCTGGAAGCTCTTCTAGTCTCCACCACATCCCACAGAATGGGGTGACTTGATGATTGGCCGACCCTGAGGGCTTAGGCAAGGCTCAGAGATTATGGTTACCCATGTACTGCAAGCAGAGGCCTGGCTGAGCAGGTAGAATGGACTAGGACCACCTCAGGATTACTTCAGGGTAAAACGCAGCTTTACTATGGATGACAGTTCCTCAGGATCAAAGATCATCATACTGCATAACCTTCCCGCAACTCGGGCTAGTAGATCCTTCTGAAGGTAGTCAAGCCCAAGAGAAGACATTAGCTGCGTCTACATAGCAGTTTCTTCACACTGCCCCCAACTCTTTGCTTTTTATCTCCCTGGTCTCCATGACCTTCCACCTCCAGGCCAGCACAACATGGCTAGGTCAATTAGAGCAATGATTACAAGTACTCCTTAGGAAGGCCTTTCATGCACTGCTGGGAGCCCCAGGTGTGTGTGTGTGTGTGTGTGTGTGACTTGGATCCATCACTGTGCCACCTGAACACATGCTCATACATGACCCTCTCACCTGCAGGAGGCCCCCAGTACAACCTGCTATGAAGATGTTTGTGTAGCTGGGTGGCTGGGCCCGTCGCTCCTGGTGGGAGGTGGCTGTGAGTGCCAGCAGGGTGTTGCTATACACTCCAAACAGAACAGAGTTGACCAGGGCCACACTGGCAATGGGGAAGCTCATTCCCTTGAAGAAACCCAGCACCTGCAGAGCAACATAGTGATACTGTACAAGGCATGGTAGGCCTCCTCATCCCATGTCCAGTGCCCAAGCCCTGTCCCAGGCAGGCAGAGCAGATGGGGGAGGCTGTGAGGAACCTCAACTCCACTTTTGGGGTGCCAAGTGACTGCCAGGCAGAAACAGGCACTATGTGCCCAGATAACTCCTACCCCCAAGAAGTGGGCTACCTACCGACTCATGGCGGTAAGTCTTGAGTATGCAGTCCACAATGCCCTGGTATGTATTCTGGGTCTGTAACCGCACCTGGATGGAAAGGACTGGGCATGTGAGGCAAATGGGCAAGCTAGGGCAGCTAGCTCACCCACACAGCAGACGCTGGCAGGCACATGGGTGAGCCAGCCCAATTAGCTGGTCTCATAGCCAGGTTCCAGACAGAGCATCTGCTCCTCAGGTACCTCTGCTACACTCACCTTTATAGTGTCAAATGGGTGCCCCAGGACCAGACCCACAGCTCCTACGGTGACAAGATGACAAGAAGGTGCCATAAGTAAAGGTCTGTGTGTCAAATCTAAGGAGTAAGTCTCCACTAGAGGAAGGAGGGATTCAGGGAGGAGCAGGAAGGCTGAGTATATTCAGACACCCATAACCCACATTCTTGGGGCTCCACAGAGATTCCAGCTGCCCTACCCCAGCACACCACACCTGGCATTGGGCCACAAAAGAGCTGGGATAAAGAAAGCAGATCTGTACATGAGGAACTGTATTAAAGGAGCAAAGCATTAGAGGGTAGAGAGCCACTGATCTAGAAGGAATGGGTCTATTTCTAGCTGTGTCAGCTGTTCTGCCTTCCTCTCAGAATTCTGGGGCCTTGAATGAAAACAGGCCCTGCTGGCCCCTTCTGCCTTCTACCTGTCAAAATTATCAGTGCAGAGCTGGAAGCCCTTCTCAGAGTCCTGAGGCCCTAGGGGAGAAAGCCACCAACTATATATAGTCTTATTCGCCACAGAAAATGCTGAAATGTGGGGTGTATCACCAGGGGCATGTTCATGGTGTCCGTTCTTAAGGCCCAGGAGTGCCACCCATTGCCAGTTAGGGCAGATTTCCAAAGGGGAAGTCAGGACAGCTGATGAGGTCAAAGGTGAATGGTCTGGGAGAAGGGGCTTGGGTGAGGTTCCCTGGCTGTCAGGTCCTTAGTGTTCTCCGGTAGCATGGCCTTGGGATGCAGAAGTAGTCTCTTCTTGTCTTCTTTCCCCTCTGCTTCTTTTGCCATTCCCAGAAGGCTCTGGGAACAGGTAGCTGCTGGGTACTCCAGAGGGAACAACTCTTGACGGCCCATCCTCCCCGAAAGCAACCCACCCTTGGGGGTGATATGACAGAAAGAAGAAGAATGTCTCACCAGAGATCCAGCCAGCCACGAACTCCTCCACAGGCATTGTATGGGCTCGGGTGGGAACTGGTGTTCCAGGCAGGGCCGCAGAGAGGACTGTTGCAAGTGAAATCCCCACCCCTTTTCCGAACCCGATAACCTCCCACTAATGTTTAACCCTGGCTGGAGGGTGAGAAGTGGCCCAGTGCCCAGACCTCAGGCAACCATTAGTGACAGTGAGCCAACTTCAGTGACCCTGAGCCTGGAAGAGGTCTACGAAGTATGAAATCTCTAGGGACAGGTTGACAGACACAGCTAGCCTGAGTCTTGTCCCTGGACAGTGACATCCATACTGTGTGACAGAGGATGGCAACTGAGTCCTAGCCTGGTGAGCCTCTCTAAGGCTGCTTTATTGAGTGAGGAGCAAGGGCCAGCCTGACGAGCCAGTCCAGAGCAAATTCCCATTCATTCCTAAGGAGCACAAGCCTTATATCTACCAGGACATTCCATAAAGCTATGTAAAGTAAAATGTGGCCACCAGGTGGCAGTCCTGTGCTACAGTGGCCTGCAGCAGCCACCTGAGCCTAAGGCAGGATGAGATCTAGCCGAAAAAGAGAGGCCCCTGCCCCCAGAAGTGACTCACCAGGCCCTGAAGCCTGTTTGTCCGCTCTCTCCGGAGTTGTTTACAGCCGTGAGTCAGAACCGCTGCCTCCTCTTCCCCAGGGGAAGGAACAATGGGCTTTTGACTACACAGAGGCCAGCCCTACACTGCATCAAAACCAAACCCTGCTCTCCTGGCCTCTGGCCTCTGCTTCCAGATGCCAGACCAGGGAGGCCCTTACCAGATGCCAGGGCCTAGATTTTGGACTTCCCTGTCTCTAAACTGCAACAAACAAATTTTCTTTAAAAATTAAAAAGAAAGAGGCTAAATCGCTTCTATGCTGTCTGAGCCCTCCTGGTACCGCCCTTCCCTCTGACCTCATGTCCTGCTTCCTCCTCCACTGTAAACAGTCAGAGAATTTCTGCCTGAGGCCCTAAAGCTGGCTTGGATTCTTCTTCATGGATGTAACTCTCTGGACTCCTTCAAGCTGAGGCTGAAACATCACCTTCTCAGTGAGACAACCCCCACAAATCACCTCATGGGCAACTGAAATCACCCTGAAGTCTGCATCCCTCCCTCCTCAAGCTTGTCTCTGACCTGTTTCATGCAGCCAACTGGTTGTTTGTGCAATCAAGGGCCTGTAGGGACTTTATCCACTAACATGCTTAAAGGATTAGAGAATGTGGTACAGGGTAGACATAATGCATATGCATGCTAATGAATGGTGAATGGATGAGAGTCAGTGCATCAACAGAGGAGTGGACAAAGACAGCGTGGTACATGCACACAATGGAGTTTTAAGGTGCAGAGAACAACAAAATGACATCATTTACAAGAAAATGAATAGAACTAGGAGATCACCATGTTAAACAAAATAAATGGGCCTCAGAAAGACCATGATCAAATTTTCTTTCATGTGCGAATCTAAAATTAAAAGTAAGATGGGCAGTGTTGGTGCACACCTTTAGTTCCAAAACTGGGAAGCAGAGGCAGGCAGATTTCAGTGATTCGGAGGCACCCCGGTCTACAAAGGAAGTGCCAGGACAGTCAGGTTAACACAGAGAAACCCTGTTTTAAAAAACAAAACAAAACTTTACATTTTTAAGATTTATTTTATATGCACCAGTGTTTTCCCTACATGTATGTGTTTGTACCATATACATGCCTAGTACCTGTGCAGACTACAAGAGGGCACCAGATTCCCTGGAGCTGAAGTTAAGGATGGTTATGGGCTAACATGTGAGTGCTGAGAATCAAACCCAGGTCCTGTGCAAGAGTAGTACATGCTGAGTTCGAGGCCAGCCTGGTCTACAAAGAGACCCTGGAGGCCCCTTGAGCAAGCCTGAAGCTGTTGGCTGGAACTCCTTGCCCCAAACCTGTTGTTGGTACTCTTCCCATTTTGATAACACACACGTTGTGACACCACACACCACGTGGGGAGGAGCTAAGCCTAAAAATCCTGTAATTTTCCACTGTGCTGTAAGTCAGTATTTAAGCCCATTCCATCCCCTCAATAAACGGCATTCGGCGTTCGGCGTTCCGACATTGCCATTGAATGAATGACCCGCTGTTTTGTCTCTTTATTTCAATCTTTAGGCCTTTGTCCGATTCGTGGAACAGATCGTAGCGCGGGTGCTACAAGTTAGGGCTACACAGAGAAACTGTCTAGAGAAAAAAAAAGCAGCCTCAGTATTCATTTATTTTTATGTGTGTATGTTTGTGCACCTGAGTGTGTATATGTGTCCCACCTGTGTGCATGAGCTCTTAGAGGTCAGAAGAGGGTGTCAGGTCTTGTAGAAAGCAGAATGCAGTCACAGGGGGTTGTGAGTTACCACATGTGTGCTGGGAACAGAACCCAGGTTCTCTGCAGGAATAGTCAGTGCTCTTAACCAGTGTCATCTCTCCAGGACCATGTTTTTAAAACACTAATTAATTGTGTGTTCCAGAGACAAAGAGCAAGAGTGTGCACACTTGTGGCATAGCCCTCATAGAAGCAAAGGACAACTTTTGGGAGTAGGTTCCTACCTTCCACCTGGTTAAAACAGGCATCTTCTCTTTCTGGTGCCCCGATGCATGCTCTGCCTGCTTTCAGGTGATTCTACTGTCCCCACTTTCCATCTGGCTGTATAAGTGTTTTGACTACAGATGCCTGACATCGTGTCAGCTTGAGTCGTCAGGAGTGTGGCAAGCACTTTTACTCACCAAGCCATCTAGAATAAATGTGTGTGCACATAACACACATGCACACATGTACATACATACACAGAGAAGACATGAAAATAGGAGAGAGTCTATATGGGGAGGGAAAAGTCTAAAAAGTGCCGGAAAAAGAGGCAGTGATGGAGGAGGAAAGAAAGACAAAAGGATCTACAGTTTCTCTCAGGTGTGGTCCAGGATTAGAGTGCTTGCTTCAGGTGCAGAGGCCCTGGGTTTAACCCACGTCAACACACACACACACACATACACACACACTTTTAAAGTATCCAGCACATAAATGTTTCCATTCAGAGTCCATACAACATGTTCATGAGACACACAGGAAAGGGCTTGGCCCACCATGTCCAGCACATAGTAGGTGAGCAGGAAGTGAAGACCTTCCCTTCTCATCCTACGGTGTTGTTATCTCCTGTAGCGGTACTGTAACTGTCTGTTAATATTTATTGTGGGTTTTTGTTTTGTTTGAGACAAGAGTCTCATATGGCCCAGGCTGACTGGCCTAGCAATGTGGCCAAGTGTGGCCCTGAATTCCTACTGATCCTCCTGCCTCCATCACCCATGTACACTAGGATTACATCGCTTACCGTCATGGTTGGCCCACCTACTGTAGTTTTAGGTTTTTTGTTTTTTGTTTTTTTTTTTTTTTTTTTTGTTTTTTTGGTGTTTCATTGTACAACTCTATCCTGGAAATCAAAGCTGCTTCTGCCTCTGTCTCCCTCTGCTGGGATTAAAGGCTTGGGTGCCATCAAGTTTAGTCTTAAATGAATTAAATTGAAAAGCACAACAAAACAAAAACACTGAAGACCAGCCAGGAGCTTACATCCGCTTTCCAGCAAGGAAATCAGGTGACAAAGGGAACTCAAGTCACTGTTACCACCTGGAACAATCTTGTTCCTGTGACTAGAGGAGGGCCCACGGACTTGTTTTTCTCCGCACATTCCAGGACTCAGACACACACAAGCTGATTATGTCAGACCTCGGGGCCAGGTGATTTTGCATTTATCTCTTTGGGACGGCAATGCCTCTACGTCTTGGAGGTTATGTGTCTATGACAGCCAGGCTTATGTGACTGCACCTTGGAAGCATAGCAAGTCCTGTGTTTCCTACAAACACACACAATATGAGGGTAAAGGTATTACTGAGAACCATTCAGCCCAACTTCTTCATGTTACAGGTGAATGCAGATTTAGAGGGCAAGGGCCCTGACTCCTGTCCAAGGCCAAGGGACAGTCTCCCTTAGGGGATGGAAGGGCGCTTCAGTACAGTCCCAGGAGGACTGTGCGACAACACACACTGCTCAGACAAGCATTGGTCCCAGGGAAGCATCTCCATTTCAGAGAGGGGCCGGATTAAGTCACACATAGAGGTAGCGGCACAGCTCGCTTCTTGATCCTTGGTTTTCATGGCCGCATCCTATCAAGGGTCTTGTGCATTGAGCAACACAGGTCATTCAAGTAGGCGGCTGTGCGGGACACAACAAAGGGTGTGGCTAGGGTGGGCTCCCGCCAGGGGGCTTTCAGATGTACAGGACCCCTTGAGTTGGGGGGCGGGCTGGTGGAAGGAGCCTAAGGACGGAACCAGTGAGCGCGCGTGCGCCGAGGCTCCGGGCCCCGATTGGCTCCCACGGTCGGAGAGGCGACGCCTCGGTTCCGAACTTCCTCCCACCGTAGCTTCCGTAGGTCGGCGTACCGACCCTTAGTGGGAGTCTGAGGCTCCCCTGGCGGGCGTGGTGGTGGGTCCAGAGTTGAAGTCCAGGATCGGGTGGCGTTCTGGCAGAGGCAGCGAGCTCTGCGACCCTGCGAAGTGAGAGTGCGGCCACTCCCTGCCCGGGTCCCCGCCCTAGTCGGGGACGCGCCTTGACTTGCCTGGGCATCCTTTGCAAGCGACCTGCGATCCCTGCACCTGACGGTCACTACCCTGAACCAGCACCACCCCAATCTGCACTCGGCCGAGGGTCACACTTAATCCCTGTACATAGATTAAGACCTGTAGACCGAGCCCGGGACCCCTTTACTTCTTGCCTAAAAGCTTGAGGAGACCATCTGCCTAGGTTCCTACTGCGGATGGATGGGGCAGAAGGTAACACAGGGCAGCCTGGCCCTGCGGAGCGGTCCCATCGAAGCAGCGTTTCCTCCGTGGGAGCCCGAGGTAGGTCTCTACCCTTTTTTTTTCGTGTCTTCTGTACCCTTTTTGGTCCCAGCCCTGGGGACGTGGTTCCGGTTTGTTCTCTTTTTCGGTAAGTTAATGTTATAGTAAGTAAGAAATAAGATGTAACAAACTCAAAGAAGTGAAAGGACTTGGCTGGGTTCTGTCTCTAGCTTAGTGACCAAGCCATAGTCTTCTTGAATCTTCTCTCATTTGTGAAAATGCGTGTGTTCAAATGAAGACACACGAATAGAATGTGACATCACTCGTTTTTAATTCTCTTCCTCTTTGTTTTATTGGAAGGCAATTTGGCCCCAGAGAGGTTGTTAGGTCCCAGACTATTGGAACCAGCCAGAGTGATCATGAACTTGAGCCTTCAGGGCCCTGTTTTCCTGCCTATAAAATGGATCTGAACCTCGGTCTTTTGGAGGAGACTGTTTGATCTCTTAAAGTAGCTGTTGGAGCAGAAGAGACCAGAATCTAAAAAGTGTCTTCCTTGTGTTAGCTGTACACCATGCTCAGCACATTTACAGGCTTCACTGGATCGGTGGTGACTTTTGAGGAAGTTTTTAACTGTTTTTACAGATTTACAACTGACACAGAGTCCCACTGGACTCAGCCAATAAGTGGAGAGCAGACAAGGATTTCAAACTGGGAATTGGAGCACCTAAACTCAGTGTTCCTTTGCTGGGCCTGTGGTACCCTGTCCTGCCAAGCGTCTCCCACTGGCTCTGGGCTTCAAACCCCAGCTTGTTATATGAGAAAACTTGGCTATTTGAGTTGTTTGGGTTTTTTTGTTTTTTGTTTTGTTTTTTGTTTTCTAGTCTACTTAAAGCTTTCTGCAAAAGCCACAGTATTGATCCTTAGAGTTCTGAAGAATCCAACAAAGCTGAGAATCTGCTATAACCCGGGGTGGCCTTAGATATGGCCATTGCCCTCTTAGTCTGATCCAGACAGAGTCAGAAGGTCACTAGTTGGCCTTGCTCCCGGCCTGATAGGGAACTGTGACCTCAGGATGGGTTGTCCCTGTCCTACTTTTCCACCTGAGAAATACTATTGGGCATACAGCAATATAGATGCTGCAGAGGAAGTCGGGAGGGGGTTTTTATGATAAGCTATACTTTTAGGGTCTTAGGGGGTGAAATGGGCTGGTATCTGGACCACAGTTTCTGAGTAATTTGAGTTCTCAAAAAGTCCACGAAGGCAGCACTTTTAATTAATTGTTTATTTTTAAGATATTGGGTCTTGCTATGTAGCCCAGGCTGGCCTAAAACTTGAAATACTCCACCTTCAGCCTTCTGAGTCCAGGGCCTACAGGTGTATGCTCCCATACCTGGCCATAGGCATTGTCACTGTTAATGGGATCTTGAGGGGATATGTCACTGTAGCTCAGGTCATAAAAAGGTGGAGAGTGCCTTATTGGCCTGGTGGTGGGTGTCCGTCAACTGACCCTTCTGTTCCAACAGCTGATGTGCTGGTGTACCTGGCTGATGACTCAGTGGTGCCACTGGCTGTGGAGAACCTGCCCTCCATTAGTGCCCATGAGCTGCACCGTACACTCCATGAAGTCCTACAGCTCCCAGATGTGGCCCTGGAGGCCTTTGCACTCTGGCTTGTCTCCCCTCTTCTAGGTAAGGTCTGGCAGGGGTGCCGGCTGGGGTGGAGGGGGGTGGGAGGGTGAGAAGGACAGTAACTGATGCAGAGAGAGGGCTTAGCTATCAGAACCTGTGGCCACTGCCTTTCAGGGAAAGATGGGAGCTGGTGTGTCCCAGAGCCCTGAGGAGGTTGCTGCATGCCTTTTTTCTTGTGCTGGTACACTACTGCTGGTGTCTTGACCTGACCTTCAGAAGAGCAGAAGGCCCCCTTCTTACAGAGCGTGCAATCTGGGCCACACCCTGGGAGTAGAACTTGAGTGTTCCCCCATGGCTCAGGTCTGCCCAGGAGTGTGAAGTCCTGATATCAGGAGCAGTGGGCTAATGGGTGTCAGGACCAAGACTGACCAGCGTCAAGCTTCTGGGCTGCTGGCAGTAAGGAAGATACAGACATGGCTCAGCAAACGGTCCTGGACCGGGACGCCTTTGCTTAGGCGTGGGGCTGTGAGAAGAGGAACATGGCTTTCTCCACCCTACCTGGTTTCTGGCCCTGTGACCACACACTTCCTGCCCTTGGAGGCTGGCGCCTCAGAGTGGGATGGGGATGGAGACAGGGTTTTATAGACTCTGGGCCGGTGAATAAAGTCCCTCATTATGGTCGCTGAGCCTGTTGACATAGAAGGAAAGTAGCTAAAGGAGGATCATTGTCATCATTTGAGGAAATAAATCAGTGCTGGCACCAGCATGTTTTCTGAACTTAAATTTTCCTTTGAGGGCTGGCAAGGTGGGTCAGTGGGTAATGGCACTTGCTGCTAAGCCAGATGGCCCTAGTTTGATCCTTGGGACCTATGAGTGGAAGGAGAGAACAAGTTCCTCAAGTAGCACTCTTGACTTACACATTCATGACCGCACAGGTACACACAATAATAGTAACAATATTTGAAATAATAACAATTATTATATTATTATTATTTAGGTTGAGCCTGTACCAAAGTATGTCTTTGAAAAAAATTCCCCTTGAGGGGAGGGATACAGCTCAGTAGTAGAGTACTCACCTAGCCTATGCAAGGCCCTGGGTTCAGTCCCGAGTCTTAAAAAAGAAAGTGACTATTCCCCTTGTTGTGGAGGAAGAGGGTATTTGGCCTCAAGAATTTGAATGAGACTTCTGGCCCCAGGGATTAGAATTAGTACCTTCCTCTCCTAGGGTCTCTGCCTCTATCCTGTAGGAGGAGCTCCAGCCCCAACCCTTGCTCCTCCCTGCCCACTAGCTTCCTGTATTTGCTGTCCCCAGGCTCACGCCCACCCTCTTCCTGATGGCCCAGCCCCTCTTTTGCCCTCTGAGCTGCTGGTCAGGGCTGTGGGCCCCTTGGTTATGTGGAAAGCTAGGGATAGCAGGTCCTAGTGGGTGGCCCCTATTCTGCCACAAGAGGCTTCCTGTGCTGCTAGGCAGCCAGCTCCTCCTCCACTTTCTCCATCCCACTCCCTCACATTCCCATAGCTTCCTAGTGACAAGAATTGAATGCATTGCCTTGTGGTGCAGCTGTCCAGGAGGAGAGTGCCTGAGGCTGCAGTACGCTTAACACCCACGTTCTTCCCAGGCTGGGGTAGGAGGCTGAAAGTCTACTTCAGACCCCCAGGACACTTCCCCTCCACACACACCCATACTAAGCAGAGCAGTGACCTGCCTTCTCAGCTGTGAGTGCCTATGAGATATAGGCTTCATGCTCCTCATTTTGGTAGGTTTGGCCTTCTTCCCATCATATGCATAGAACTGGCTCCAGGATCTGTTCATCTTACTTGGATGATGGTCACTAGGGAAGATGGTTCCACCTCAAAGTCTGAGGCTGTGGTGTTGGCATAGCCCTAGTCTGATGACTTGGGAGTAAAGGTGTGAGGAGCACATTTCTGTCCCCAGGTCTACCACCCCACTCTGGACTTTCTCAGTGCTGGGACAGCCAGGGAATCAGATGTGTACTGAAGGGAGGCTTGGGAAGCTAAGCTCTGGTCCCTTGTAGCCGCTGTGTGTAGCCCTGGAAGTTGCCATCCCTCGGGGCATTAGGTAAAGGAGTAATCTTGTAGCTCCATAGCCCCATCTTATGAGCCTGTGGATAGTGGGAGGGTGGGAGAGGTGGAGGAAAGTAGACCCTGTCTGGGAAACTTGGGTCAGAAAAATAGGACAAGAAAGGTCTGGAGCTGGATGCAGAGGTTGGATGGAAGAGGCTAAGGGCTAGAAGCCCACTTGGAGGCTGGGACTGCTAATCTGGTCAAGATCTGGGTCCAGAAGGAAGGTCTAAGTGGTCCAAAGAACCATTGGTATCTGTCTGGCACACATGTGGTGGCACCTTTACCATATATCTCAGCACATCCCTGAGTGAGCCGGACACCACCCCGCCTCTCAGGCAACATCTCAGGGGACCACCGTTAATAGTTCTTAGGGCCCCAGTGTACCAGCTGCATCTGCCATGCTGTGAGACAGGTGGCCTAACCCTCTGAACCTGGGTCTCTCCAAATTAGAATGGAGGTCAGGGCTGCTCTAGGGTGAACACACTTAAATTGTCTGATGTGGCTCTGGGCCTGCTCGGTTGTTGGTTGTGACTGTCCTCACTGTTGGCGGGCAGTATGATGAGTGATTAGGCACCATTGGCATGGTCAGCAGCTTCACAGCCATCTTCTCTCTTACCCTGCAGAGGTGCAGTTGAAACCCAAGCACCAGCCCTACAAGCTGGGCCGCCAGTGGCCAGAGCTGCTGCTGCGCTTCACCGATGCCTCCGATGATGAAGTGGCCATGGGTCAGTGTTGCTGGGGCAGGGGCTCCATCTCCCCGGCGTCTGTCAGCCACCCCTGACAGAAGAACTTAAGGCATACCTGAAGGGAGCCTTGGGAGGGCTAGGCTGGGAGAGGCTGTGAACAGAGATGCACTGTGTGCTCACTGTCTAGTCAGCACCCTCCATTAGGAGGCCTTTCTCCGGGGAGAAGAATGAGGTTGGGAACTAGGGTGGGCCATTTAGGGCAGGGCAGGGTGGGGCTGTGTAATGCAAGTGGACCAGGCACTGACTCTAGCCCCTGCCCCCAGATGAGCCTTCCCTTCAGTTCCGAAGGAATGTGTTCTTCCCAAAGCGCCGAGAACTCCAGGTAAGGTGCCCAGGGCCCGGTCCCCCGAACCCCTAGACAGTCATACCTTGCCCAGTTCCTCTGAGCCATCATCTTCATGCCACACGGGCCTGCAGATCCATGATGAGGAGGTCTTGCGGCTGTTCTATGAGGAAGCCAAGGGCAATGTGCTGACTGCTCGATACCCTTGTGACCTGGAGGACTGTGAGGTGCTGGGCGCCCTGGTGTGTCGTGTGCAGCTTGGCCCTTACCAGCCTGGCCAGCCTGTTGCCTGCACTCTGAGGTAAGAACAGTGAGACTTGAGATGGGTACCCAGTGGGAAAGTTGCTGTGCAAGAGTCTACCTATAAGGGGTTCTGAGTCCTGCAAGCTGGGGCAGTCCTGAAGTCAGGCCTCTGATGCACTCATGCTCACTGGGTGGCCTTGGTGAGTTCTCTACTATTCTGAGCTCCCTTTTCCTCATTCTGTGGGCAGTGGATATTCATGAAATGATGTCTAAGAGGCATCCTCAGCACAAGGGGCCACAGAGACATGTGGATGGAGCCCAACTCTAGCTGAAGTCTGGAGGGAGTTGTGCTTTTATTCTTTTAAAGTCACAGCCAGGAAGTAATTATGTGACATCCCCCCTCCCCCCAATAACCACTAACAGCTGAGCTAATCTCTAAATCCCAAGAATAGAATCTTGTTCCCCAGATACTCACCAAGCTTCTGCCTGCTTCTGGTTCATGTCTAGAAAGACAAGAATTGAGTCTGCCATAATAGCAGACCGGGTCATTCTCTGCTTCCGTAGAGGGTTAGAAATAATTCCAAGGACAAGATCTGGTTCACACCTCTAATCCTAGCACTTGGAAGATTGAGACTGAATTACCATGAGTTCCAAGACAGCCTGGGCTAAAGAGTTGTGAGCCAGGCATGGAGCCTCATGCTGGCAGTTTCCATAAACACCCAGGGAAGATCAGGAGTTCAAGGTCATTCTTAACTACATAGTGTGTTTGAGGCCAGCCTATTTCTAACCAGAGCTGCTTGTTTTCCTAGTCCTGCAATGCATGGGTAAATCAGCAGAGACCCCATGCTGATGACTGGAGCTTGGCAGGACTACCTGGGTTCAAAGTCCCCTGAAAGCCTACAGCTGAGCTGTCTAAAGCTGGTGGCCATGGTGTCCTGAACCTCAAGATGAGCAAGTCTGTTCTTCTTGTACCTGAAAAGAAGCCCAGCCCTGGGGCTGGAGAGATGGTTCAGTGGTTAAGAACTGGCCTCTCTTCTAGTGATTCTGAAAGTTCAATTCCCAGCAGCCACATGGTGGCTCACAACTATCTATAATGAGATCTGGTGCCCTCTTCTGGCACCTATTCTGGCCTGCAGGCAGAGCACTCATACCTTTAAAACAAACACACACACACACACACAAAGAAGCTTAGCTCAACTCATTTGTACAGGAAATTCCTTTGTTCACTCCTGTGACATGCAAGCCCAGGTCAGGGTGTCCTGGGCTGAGCTCAGCTCTGTTCCACACCCTGTGCTCCTTGCCATTCAGCTGTTGTCTTCTTGCCTCAAGCATATTATTACCTTGTGGCCAAGAGGCTGTAGCAACTGTTGCAGAGGAGAGGTGCCACTTTGCTTACACAGCTAGCGTCCCCAGGCTCGCTCTCGTGGCGTGCACATAGCTTATTCGAGGTCCACCAGGAGGAAGGAAGTACAGTGGCTAGGCCACTGATGGGCTGCGGCTGTGTCTTCCATGGATGCCACTCTGAGCCTGCAGGGTTTCCATGACATGTGGGAGCTGGTCGGGGATGGGACACGGATGGTGAAATGGGTTCCTTCCTGGCCTTTTCCTTGGAGCAGCTGCCCCTCCCCGTGGTCTTGGTGTTTAGATTCCAAAAACCCAGCAGGACTCCTCTCTGGAGAAGGTGACACCATGGAGGTTTACAAAGTTAACCTAAAGCTGAGGGCCCTGTTGGGCTCTTTCTGAGCCTGGGGGAATGTATGGTTCTGTTGTAGACAGGGCCTATATGTAAATGCTGGTTTTGAGAACTCAAACTCAGAACTCTGCATATGATCTGCTGGGGTGCCAGTTCTCTGCCAGCTGGAGGCCAGGTGGCCTGTGTTGGAAGATGGTCACTGTTATAGAGAGGCCTCCTGCCCTCCTGTGTTCTGGGTGCATGGGACTTTTTCCACCAAAAACTGATATGGATGGTGTGAGACTCTGTGCTGGCTAGTTTTATGTCAACTTGACGTAAGCTATTATCATCTGAGAGGAAAGACCCTCATTAGAGAAAATTATTCCAGACGATCAGGCTGTAGGCAACCCGGTAGAGTGGACCTGGGACTAGGCTGTGAGCCTGGGGCTCTAGCGGCTGCGTAAGGAGGGTGCCCTATTTTCCAGGAATCTATAATGACATGGTTAGTATTGGGCCATTCTTACCTTGCTGAACAGGACACTGAGAGAATGTCTTAGTTGGGTTACTACTGCTATGGTGAAACATCAGGACCAAAAGCACTTTGGGGAGGAAAGGGTTTATTTGGCTTGCACATCCTGAATCACTTCCATTGAGGAAAGCCAAGGCAGGAACTCAGACCAGGTGGGAACCTGGAGGTAGGAGCTGATGCCCAGGCCATGGATGGGTCCTACTTACTGCTAACTGCCTTCCTCCTCATGGTCTGCTCAGTCTACTTTTGCTCAGTCTGCTTTCTTTTTTGTGGTTGTTGTTTTGACAGGCTTTCTCTGTATTGCTTTGGAGCCTGTCCTGGAATTTGCTCTGTAGACCAGGCAAGCCTCAAACTCAGAGATCCTCCTGCCTCTGCCTCCTGAGTGGTGGGATTAAAGAGATTAAAGGCATGTACCACCATACCTGGCTTCAGTCTGTTTGCTTTTTTTGTTTGTTTTTAATATTATTTGTTTATTATGTGTTCAGTATTCTGCCTGCATGTATCCCTGCAGGCCAGAAGAGGGCACCAGATCTCATTACAGATGGTTGTGAGCCACTATGTGGTTTCTGTAAATTGAACTCAGGAACTTTGGAAGAGCAGGCAGTGCTCTTAACCACCAAGCTGTCTCTCCAGCCCTAGTCTGCTTTCTTATAGAACCCAGGACTATCAGTCCAGGGGTGGCCCCATTCATAATGGGCTTAGTGCCCCCCCATCGGTCACTTATGAAGAAAATGTCCTACAGGTTGGCCTACAGCCCAATCTTATGGAGGCATTTTCTCAATCAAGGTTCCCTCCTCTTGGGTGATTCTAGCTTGTGTCTAGCAAGTGTATCACGCCATTGATATCATTTGGGTGGAAAAAGTCTCATTCACTCAGAAAGCTCAATTGTTCAGCCTCAGGACTTGGACATTGCCCTGATATCTGCAGACTGTCCTCTGCCCTTTTCTGGCTTCCCATCCTGACCAGAGCACCTCCCAAGCCTCCCTGCTCTCCCCTGGTCCTGAGTGTCCAGGGTTTTCCACAGCACCCAGCACACAGTAGGTATTAAAAATGTTTGTCCCTTCTCTCGGGTGAAGATTGGTCCTGGTGACACCCTGTCTGTAAAGTATTCTCTTCAGTTTCCTGGGCGAACAATGGTGCTGACGGGGAGGGGGCAGGAGAGCAGATCAGAATGTGGCCTTAGATGGTGACCCTAGCCTGTCCTTGTGTGACCTCCTCCCCCAAGTCCGGGGCCTAGGCTTGAGGAGCTCTGCAGATAGGCAGGTGCTCCTGGCTGGCCTCACAGTGTCCAAGCCTGTCCTGATCACACGTGTGTCTGCTGCTCTGGACTCCCCCACGAATCCCTTGGTCTGTTATCCCCTCCATGTCTTGGATGTTATTACAAGATCCCTTCCTCTGTGAACTCCATTTTTGTCTTAGAGAGGAAGAGCATCCTACCCCCAGCTCAACAGTGGGTCTTGCATGTCAGGCAGGTATGGCCCTGAGCCACACCGGGGACAGTGGGGAGTCTCTGCAGTTCAGCACCTCTGTCACCCTACTGTGTTGTGGGCTATCTGTACACTGTGTGCAAATATATTGCTGTGATTGGTTTAATACAGAGCTGAACCACCAGTAACTAGGCAGGAGGTATAGGTGGGCAGAGAAAGAGAGAAGAAGTAGGAGATGAATCTAAATGGGAATCAGACACCAAGGAGACATGGAGGGAGTCGGACATACAAAGTGAAGGGGAGGTAAAAAGATTAATAGAAGCAGGTTAATTTAAGTTATAAGAGCTAGAAGGACAACCCTAAGCTAAGGTTTCCGTGTTGTTATTTGGGAGCTGGTGGTCTGGTGAAAGACTTGGCCACACTACTGTATAGCAGAGGGCCTTGAGGGTTGCTAAGCCCTGCCACCTACCAAGCCTTGTCCACCCTATGAGCAAGGTACTTAGCCCCGGGAGCTTAACTCCCCTAGAAGAGCTACATCTGCCCCATTTTCCTTCTCCTCCAGGGAGAAGTTGGACTCCTTCCTCCCTGCCCACCTATGCAAACGAGGCCATGGCCTCTTTGCTGCCTTTCGGGGCCGTGGGGCCAAGACTGGATCAGGTGAGCAAGGTCTGTTGAATGCCTACCGCCAGGTAAAGGAAGCCACAGGCCATAACAATGAGCATGAGACCACCTTGGGCTCCCACTATCGCGCCTACCTCCTCAAGTGCCATGAGCTGCCCTTCTATGGGTAAGTGGTACATCTCCAGAGCTCCTGCCCCCACTTTACCCTCCAGACTGCCCCCATGCTTCAGTGTGGCCACAGGAGACCCACCTGTGCCCCAGTACCACCATCCTTGTCCTAGTGGAATACCTGCTCTTTCTCCTGTTTCCAGCCAGCACTCCTTCCTTGGCCCTCTCCTACTCACCCCGTCCACCTATTGGCCCGGCTGATTGCCCTTTCAGCTAGTGCGCTTTGTTACACACTGTTACACACGCAGTGTGTAACAGATAGTTCTCTCTTGCTGGGCATGCCCCACACAGTGAAGAAGCTGCCCTTTGAGTGGGAAAACAGAGGCTGGGAACCACTGTAAATAGCAGCCAGGAGAGTAGAGGAGCTGGGAACAGTAATCTAGACACAGGTGGTGTTCCAAACTTCTAGCCTGTAGTCTGGACCAGTCGTCCTTTGCTGGGATGCTGGCTTCAGTGGAGAAGGTGGGAACTTGGTTTTGGATATGCCGGCTGAAAGATGCCTATTAGATGCCTGAGTGGCGATTCCTGGTTTAGGGCAGAAAAAGTGATTGGTGAATTGCTTCAAATCTGGAGCCCTGAAAATGGCCAGGAAGATGAGTGGAGAGAGGAACAGTGTGGAGGACACTGTCCAGGCAGGGGTGTCTCTTCATGCCAGGTGCCACATGCTCCAGTCCTCCGTCTCCCTTTCCATTTCGTCCCATTGAGCGCATCTTTGTATCTTTGTGCTGTGGTTTGGCCTTAGCCTGCTGGAAGTAGGAGAGCAGGTGGATCTCTTGAGTTGAGGCCAATGGGTCTGCAGAGTAAGGAGTTCTAGGACAGCCTGGGCTATTACACAGAGAAACCCTGTCTCGAAAAAACAGGCTGGGGGTGGGGGGGCTGTGATTAGTTTTTATGGAGTTTTACTGGACAATGGTGCAGGAGATGTAGGCCTAGCACGGCTGCCACTATTCTAGGCAGCCCTCACTTCCCTAGTGCCCCCGGCAGGTCCCTGCTGCTGAAGGAGGACAGTGCAGCAGGCTCAGCCTTCCCCCTCATCTGAGGCACCCAGGCTCCTCGGGGTCCCTAATGCAGCTGGCTCTTTCCAGGGTTTGTGCTTTCTTTCTGCCCACAGTGCCCACCCTGTATTATCCAGGTCCTCTTTCCACCCGTTCAGTCTAGTCCTACACAGCAATCAGGTGTTGCCACCCCCAATACCTTCCTGTTTCTGCACCTTACTTCCCCCATCCCCCCATCCTATCCCCCATTCTGTCCCCCCCAGGGCAGGTTTTCCCTTCAGTCACCCAAACAGTTTCTGGGTACCCAGAGTAGTGTTTCCGTGTGTGCTGGATGCTGGAGGGAGCAGCTGACAGACACGAGCGCCCTCTCCAGGTGTGCCTTCTTCCATGGTGAAGTCGACAAGCCAGCCCAGGGCTTCTTGCATCGGGGCGGGCGCAAACCAGTGACCGTGGCCATCAGTCTGGAAGGTGTACATGTCATCGACAGCAGGGAGAAGGTACCACCTCAGTCTAGCTCCTCGGGGTGGCATTCGCTCGCCCTTGGTGGGGACAGAAGGATCCGTGTCTCCTTGGTTCCCCTAGACAGGCATCCTAGGGACAGTATTGAGTAGACTGTAGGTGACTTTGCATCCCTCAGATGTCCCTGGAGTTGTGCTCAAACATTCTGGGACCTTCTCTGAGTCTGTTCTGGTCCTGCTCTTCAGCAGCTGGGGTTCTGACTCTGAGTGTAGTGTCTGGCAGCACCTTGCTGCTGCTCCTGGCCAGTGGTGGAGACTGGCTGGCCATTTTCCACAAAGATCCCTGCTGGGAGCTCCCTGGGCTGGCCAAGAGCTCCCTGGTTTGGTGTGTGCCTTACCTCTGGCTTGCCATGTAAACTGTGCTGTCGGCTGCTTTCCTTGCTCTGTAGTTGCCTGCACCTGTGCCCTGGCATGCCGATCCCAGCTGTTCTCAAGGCAGAACCCCTGCTGGCCCTGGCCATCAGGGGCCTAACCTGCATTGAAGAGTATAGATTCCTGGTGTCTTGCTAGAAGAGATGCAGACTTAGCGTGGAGACCTGGGGCTCTAGTCAGTGGTAGGATTCTCACCTTGTGTATATAAGGCTCCTAGTTCAGTTCTCAGAGCCATAAAGCAAACAAGAAAATAAATATCCTTTAATCCCAGCAAAGGGAGGAAGAGGCAGGCAGATCCCTGTGAGCCTGAGGCTAGCCAGTGCTACATAAGGAGACCCTTTCTCAGAAAGGAAAATATACCAGTGTGAAGAGGCAAGCACCCTGGTTGAGTTGTCCCCAGGTAGAGCCTGATGGGACCCAATGGGAAGTAGAAGATTAAGCCTTATCCTTTGTTTCCCACTGCCCAGCATGTGCTGCTGGGCCTGCGCTTTCAGGAGCTGTCTTGGGACCACACTTCCCCTGAAGAGGAGGAGCCTGTCCTGTGGCTAGAGTTTGATGGTGACAGTGAGGGCACGCCTGTCAACAAGTTACTGAGGATCTACTCCAAGCAGGTAGTGATGTGTGGTCACGCACACTTAGACAGAAAGGTTGGGTCCAGTGGATCCCAGGATGGAGGCTGGAGTGTTCCCCAGGGCCTGGGAGCAGGGTGTCAGGCCTGAGCAGTCCCGGTGAGCTCTGAATCCTCTGGTGTGGTGTGTGATCCCAGACAGCTGCAGGCTGGCCCTCGAGGGCCAGCCCATGATGTCTGCACAGCCATGCCATCACTGTGCCCTAGAGAGTACAGCTAAGGGACAGGGGCAGAGAGGCAAGGCCCCAAGGGCTGTGTTAAGGAGACCCATTCTTTCTGCCCACCACCCATTCTTCTCTTCCTACTCAGACCGCGTCAGAGCTGTCGCTGCTCTGAGCCTTTCTGGGAACTGTTCTTGCCTCTCTTCCAGGACTCCTATCATTGAAAACACATGTCCTCTCCCTCTGTTCTTCCAAAAAATTGAGTACCCAGATACCTACTAAGCAACAAATAGAGACACAAGTTGTATTGAGCCCTTTACTATGTAATGTGGCGGCCACTCAGGGCGACTGCTTTTCACTCAACAACATGCTTTTAGATTCATCCGTATTGTGTGCTGTACCTGTTCATTTTTTCTCTACTTTTTGCTGCTGAGGATCAAACCCACGACCATACACATGAGGCAAATCCTCTATCACTGAATGGCCCCCACCCCCAGGTCCTATTCATCCCTTTTTAAAATTGTTCCGTGGTCAGCTGTACAGGTGCACAGCTCACCCGTTGAAGAGCATGTGAGTTGTTCCCATTTTGACTTTTACCGGTAAGCTGCACTGGTCATTTCTGCATAGGGTTTTATGTGGATACAGACCTCCTTTTTTAAATTTTCTGCGCATCAGTGTTTTGCCTGAATGTATGTCTGTGTGAGGGTTTTGAATCCCCTGGAACAGGAGTTATAGTCAGTTGTGAGCTGCCATGTGGGTGCTAAGAAATGAACTCAGGTCATCTGGAAGAGCAGCCAGTGCTACCAACCTCTGAGCCAGCTCTTCTTCAGCACCCCCCCCCCTTTTTTTTTCCTTTCTGAAACAAAGTTCGATATGTAGTCCTGCTCTCCTGGAACTTTCTCTGTAGACCAGACTGGCCTCAAACTCAGATCCACCTGCCTCTGAATGCTAGATTAAAGGTATATACCACTAAGTCTGACTGGCTTTTCTTTCTCTTTCTTTCTCTCTCTCTCTCTCTCTCTCTGTGTTTCTGGAGACATATTTTCTCTTCAGCTCTAGATGTCCTGAAACTTGCTTTGTAGACTCACTGACCTCAGACTCACAGAGATCTGCCTGCCTCTGCCCTCTGCCCTCTGCCTCTGCCTCTGCCTCTGCCTCTGCCTCTGCCTCTGCCTCTGCCTCTGCCTCCGGAGTGCTGGGATTGCAGACATGAACCACTGTACCCTGTTTATGTGATGCTGAGGATGAGCCAGGGCTTCCTGCATGTTAGGAAAGCATTCTGTGATCTGAGCTACATCTCCAGCCCTGCTTTTTTTTTTTTTTATTATTATTATGTACATTGGGAAAATTCTTGTGTGTATGTCTGTGTGAGGGTGTCAAATCTCCTGGAACTGGAAATACAGACAGCTGTGAACTGCCATGTGGGTACTGGGAATTGAACCTGGGTCCTTTGGAAGACCAGCTAATGCTCTTAACTGCTGAGCCATCTTTCCAGCTCCCTGGTGTTTGTTCTCACTATATAGCCTTGGGGCTTAGTATATAGGCCGTATTGGCTGTGTGCCTTCTGATTAGCACGTCCCTCCTTTCTAGACCTTACCTCTGAAGTCACATCAGAGACTTCCCTGCTTTCTAGGCCTTAGAAAGCCTGCTTAGCCAAGCATTGGTGGCTCATGCCTTTTTATTCCCAGCACTCAGGAGGCAGGAGGATCTCTGTGAGTTTGAGGCCAGCTTGGTCTACAGAGCTCCAGAGCAATACAGAGAAACCCTGTCTCTCGAAAAACTGAAAACAGAAAAAAAGAAAAAAGAAAAAAAAATAGGAAGAAAGCCTGTCTATTCTCTCCTCTCCTCCCCTCTGCCCTCACAGAAGCAAAGGCTTTCGGGCTGTATGTCTGCATGGTGTCCCTCAACAGTCGCTGCTATGTGGCCTCACCCCTACCTCTCTCCCCTCCCCAGGCTGAGCTGATGAGTGGCCTTATTGAATATTGCATTGAGCTGAGCCAGGCTGCTGAGCCCAGTCTGCCCCAGGAGAGCACGTCTGGCCCTCAGGAAGCTCCCAGCCCCTCTCCACCTCCCACTCAGCGCCCCAAGCTTCGGAGGCAGGGTAGTGTGGTGTGTAGCCGGATTCAGCATCTCTCCACCATTGATTATGTGGAAGACGGTAAGCCTCTGGTGGTGTGCACACACGCACACACGCACATGCGCACACGGACTCCAGAGGGTGGGAGAAGAGCTGAGGCCTCAGCCCTCAGGGACGTTTCATGTGGGTCCCATCATACCGCTCTACTGACAGACATGTCCATTGTAGTGTCTTCCAAAACATGGAAAACATGAAGGAAACTTTTTGTGTCTTTTAAAGTGTAAGATGGCTTGGTGGGTAAATATGCTTGTCGGGAAGCCTAACAGCTGAGTTAGATCCCTTGAACCACAAGATAGGAAACAGAATGGACTCTGACCTCCACATACCATGTCAGGCATACCTATATATGCAGACACACACAAAGAAAAAACATGTAATTAAAAAGAAGTTAACCATGTGTGCTGGCATGCCTCTTTGATCTCAGCACTTGGAAGGCAGAAGCAGGAGACGCTCTGTGAGTTTAAAGTCAGGCTGTTCTACCAAATCAGGTTCCAGGCCATCAGACAGCTTCACAGTGAGACTCGGGAGTGTGTGTGTGTGTGTGTGTGTGTGTGTGTGTGTGTGTTTGTTTTTCTAGACAAACTTTCTTGGTGTAACAGTTCTAGCTGTCCAATCTAGCTAGCCCTATAGAGACCAGGTTGGCCTCAAACTCACAGAGATCTGCCAGCCTCTGCCTCCAGGGTGCTGGGATTAAAGGCGTGTGCCACCACTGCCTGGATGACACCCTGTCTTAAAAAACAAAACAAATTAAATGCACTGAGAATTGAGCCTAGAGCTTTAGTCGTTTCAGACAAGTGCTCTGCCCATGAGCTACATCTCTAGCTTGCTAATATCTCGTTTTTGAGCGGTGACTATAGATATAGTAAGGACAAATTCGAACGCTCCTGAGAGTGGGAAGGGTTCCAAGGGAGGATTATTCCATCCAATATCTTTCCTTATAGGTGTGAGTATGTACACCTAGAATTATTCCAAGATAAAAAGTGTTTGGGGGGGTTAGGGACTGGTGAGATGGCTTAACAGGTAAGGAGACTTGCCGCCAAGGCCAAAGACCTGAGTTCCATCCTCAGAACCCGCTGATGGAAGGAGAAAGAAACTCTACAAAGTTGTCCTTTTAACTTCCACACATGTATCTGTGGTGTGGGAACCCTATTCCCCCAAAACATAAAATAGTTTTTTGTTTTTTTAGACAGGATTCCCCTGTGTAGCTCTGAGCTTTCGATCCTGCCTGCCTCTGTCCCCCTAGTGGTGGGATCAAAGGCGTGCGCTACCTTCCCTTCCTGGTTTTTGTTTGTTGGTTTGTTTGTTTGTTTGTTTTGGGCATTTCCCTGTCTCTATTCTAGACTAGATTTAAACTTGAATATATAACTGATGACTTTGAATTCCTAGTCCTCCTGCCTCTACCTCCAAAGTGCTGAGATTACAGTTAAGTGCCATTACACACAGCTAAAGTCATTTTCATAATCTAAAAAGGTGCATTATTTACTCAGGTGTGGTGCATATAATCTCAGAGCTTTAAGTATCTTGAGCTGGGGAGGTGGCTCAGTGATAGAGAACTTGCCCAGCATGAATGAAAACAAAGTTTGCTTATTATAACAAAGACCTGAATTTGCTTATATACTTAAGGGTTTTTATGTATATGAATATTTGCTTTCATCTATGTACGTACATACATAACCTGTGTGCCTGGTGTCCACAAAGGCCAGAAGATGGAGTCAGATCCTCCCCACTCCCTGAAACAGGAGTTATAAATGGCTGTGAAGGGCCACGTGGGTGCTGCTGAGAGCCAAACCTGGGTCCCTTACAAGAACAAGTGATCTTGGATGCTGAGCTCTCTGGCCCCTGAAATGTTATTTTTAAAGCCAGGCGTGGTGACTACACCTGTAAGCCTACCACTTGGGAGGTAGAGGCAGTGGGATCAGAGGTCCAAAGCCCCCCTGAACTATGTAGCAAGTTCTAGGCCAGCTAGGCTGTCTATTAATTTTTAAAGCTGGGTATCCTGTCACATGCCTTCATCCCTAGCACTCAAGGACAAAATTAAGCAGATATCTCCAGTTTGAGGACAACCTGGAATGCATAGTTCCAAACCAGATAAGGCTTCATACTAGACCCTGTTGGAGTTTTATGTTGTTTGTTTGTTTGTTTGAAACAGGATTTCTCTATGTAGCCTTGGCTGTCCTGGAACTCTGCTCTGTAGACCAGGCTGGCCTTGAACTTGTAGAGATCTGCTTGCCTCTGCCTTCTGAGTGCTGGAATTAAAGGTGTTCACTACCTCGACCCTACTTAGTTTAATTTATTATTTTATGTCAGTAAGTGTCTGCATGTGTGTCTGTGTACCACTTGGGCATCTGGTACTGGAGGAAGCCAAAATCAGTATCTTATACCCTTGGAACTAGAGTTACAAATGGTTGTGAGCCACCATGTGGTTGCTGGGAATTGAACTCAGGTCCTCTGGAAGAGCAGCCAGAGCTCTTAACCACTGAGCCATCTCTCCAGCCCCAACATTTATTTCTTTTTAATGTTAGTATATTACACACTGTCTTCACTGTAGCTTTTACTGACCCAAAACTTGAAATGACCCTCAGACACCCTGGCCTTGCATTGCATGTAGTTGTCATGCTTTTGTTTGGCCTGAATGCTTGAAGGGTACTAGCTGAGTATTTTGTAAAAGGTGTGGTGCTGGAATTGGATGTTTTCCCTCGTGAGTTAATGGGTTTAGGGATGGGAGTAGGCAGACCAAGGTGTCATTGGCATCACGCCCTGACTATAGCCACTGTCCTCCATCATCTGTTTGGCTTCCCACCTGTACTTGTCTTGGTGACTCAGCAGAGCCAGTCTGGAGTCATCTCTGTCTGGGGTTGGTGAGGGTGACCATGGTTCCCTGTCCTGCCATTGATGATGGACCAGGGGTGGAAACGGGATCAGAATGATGACAGATCTGGGGGGAAGCACAGTTCAAACAGACTCCAGAAGAAGCTGTCCCAGTGGAAGCAGAGCCCACCCAGCCCACTCAGCCTGTCTCTCTCACCCTCACAGGCAAGGGAATCAAGCGGGTGAAACCCAAGCGCACCACGTCCTTCTTCAGCCGGCAGCTCTCCTCCAGCCAGGGCAGCTACACCGTGGTACAGCCCGCTGACGACAGCCTAGAACAGAGCTGAGGGAAGCCATGCCTAACGTCAGGTGCCCCAGTCACTTTAGTCCCAGAGGCTGTGAGCCTAGGGCTGTGCTGTGCAGGGTCTGCTGGAAAAGTGATGTCCAAGCCTGCCCTGACCCCAACTGGGAAGAGCTGGCCTGCAGCCCTTTCCACAGCCTGCTCTTCCTGAACTCCAGGCCCAGCAGCTGACTGAGACCCCAGCTGCCCCTCTGCTCATCCCCAAGTGGACTGTGTCTTCTCTCTGAAGGGACTGCTGGCGGTTCCAATGGCAGGTGACTGAAGTCAGAGCTCAGGACCTGCAAGTTCAGTGTTTGCCTTTGGTCTCTGGGACCTTGGTGACCTTATCTTCTATTCCTTCTGCTGACATTCCACCCACACCGCCAGGACAGACTGCCACCTTCTCTCCTAGGGTGTGCCAGACTGGAGGGAGTCTCTTCATGCAGAGACTGAGCAGTCTAGCTGCCTTGCTGTAGCCTGTGTTGTCAGTCTCTGTGCTGAATGGTGGCTGTCCTAGGAACTGGCTCCACACTCCACACAGGAAAAGCCCTCCTCTCAAGCCCTTACACCTCCCTGGGCTTGAATGGCTCTGTCACATACCTGCCAGTCCCATTGTTTTCCTGTGATCTGGGTCTCAGGGTTTAGATTTTCATCTTGTCTCATCTGCTTTGAGTGGTTATAGCCTAGGACCTGGGACTCGCTCGATACTTTTGCTAGCCTTAGCCCTGCACTGGGCTTCCCTGAGGCCAACCACACTAACTCAAGCCTTCTCTCCTAAGGGTATTATAAAGGAGGTCCAGCTCTGGCCCCCTGGCAGCAGTGACTGCTCTAGAGAGGAGTGCTTTCCAGGCCCTCAGGTCCCTCCATGGTTTGCACACAGCTCTTAGTACTTCCTGGGAATTCCCATGGGGTCCCAGAGACACAGAGCTTAGCTTTGTCTTCACAGTGGAAAGCCACAGGCATGCAAAGTCTCACATTTCTCCTAGTGAAAGCAGCTTGCCTGCCCAGGGAGGTCTCGGCAGCAGAGAGAAAGAAAAGGCTGGCTTCACTCTTGGAATGTCTGTCTATAGGGTGATGTCACCTGCCATTTGTCAATCCTTTTGGAGTCATATGCCTTCCCAGAGCTTCCAGCCCACTCTCTTGGTGATAGCCTTGGTCATTTCCACTGCTGTTGATGGCTCCAAGGCCAAGACATGTGTGTTTATGTGAGTACGCAAACTATGCATTTCCATTAAGCTTCACTTGTGCCTTAACCCTCCGGGACAGAGCACTGTGAGTAAGTGTCCCAAGTGTCCTCAGTCTTTCCTGTCACTTGACTTATTAATAAAATCAGTGCCTACCACACTTAGGAATGGTTTGTAATGTGGAATAGCCTGTGTGCCTAAAATATAGTGTCTCAGGACTTCACAGTAAAGTCTCATCTGGTAGCTTCTGGGGACAATTCTTAGTCTGGGAAGAGGTGTCTAGGAAGACCTGGGCTCAGTGGGTCCAGGAGGAGCTCTGTGGATCCTTTGCCATCCCTTGGCCTCCCAGCCTTCTGGTTACCAGGCTGTTTCCCATGGGAACTATGGGAACACTCAGTTTGGAGGACAGTTTGGACACTCAGTTTGGAGGACAGGGACAGTACCAGACCTTCTGTGGCCCCCACAGCAAGCTGCATAGGCAGCAGTGATGTGAGCTTTGGCCTTGTGGGGTGAACACCAGAAATTGCAGGTTCAGCTTCTCAATGAACATTTTCAGATTTAAGAAGAGGGGAGCCATGTGTCCCTGAGGCATTGATTTTGCAACTGGGACATTGCCTTGATGTCTACCAACTAGAGTGATGGCCTGTCCTCTATGTGACCCTCTGCCAGGGCTGTTTCTTGATCTTTCAGCCAGGTTGATTGACAATGATGACCTCAAAAGATTCTGGGTGCTTCAGTGCCTGCTTTGTGGGCTGACAGCTGTTAGCAATCTTTCTTAGCACCTTAGACCTCTGCATCTGAGGACCTGGGAGGGAGGATGGGCAGAACCATACTGATGGCCTGGTACACCTTCCTCCTACCCAGGCCCACTGTTCCCTACAGTTGTTTTTTGGTTTCTCTGTGGCTTTAGAGACTGTCCTAGAACTAGCTCTTGTAGACCATGCTGGTCTTAAACTCATAGAAATTCCACTGCCTTTGTCTTCCAAGTGCTGGGACTAAAGGTGTGTCACCACCACCCTGCATTAGCCAGCTTTTCTAACTTAAATTATCCTGTTTCTCAACAAGGGTTGGTGACCCACGCCTTTGGGAGGCAGAGGCAGTTGGATCTCTGTGAGTTCAAGGCCAGCCTGGTCTACAGACTTAGTTCCAGGACAGGATCCAAAGCAATACAGAGAAACCCTGTCTCAAAAAGAAAAAAAAAAAAAAAATTCTGTTTCTCTCACCTGTTTGCTTTTTACTTTTCCTTAAAAAAAAAAAAAATTTACTTATTTCTATTATGTTATATGCATTGGTGTTTTGCCTGCACGAATGTCTGTGTGAGGGTGTCAGATCCTGAAGTTACAGACTGTTGTGAGCTGCCATATGGGTGCTGGGATTTGAACCGGGGCTCTCTGGAAGATTAGTCAATGCTCTTAACCACTGAGCCATCTCTCCAGCCCCACCCTCCCTCTTTCTATGTATCTTTCTTTGCTTCTTGATGACCTGACCGCCTGGGTGGCTGGCTCCTGGCATCCTTCTCTCCTCCTTTTCGCACTCTTTAGATTTCTCCTCATATTTATTCACTTTGCCTGGCAGCCCCATCCTTTCTCCTGCCTAGCTATTGGCTGTTCAGCTCTTTATTTATTGGACCAGTCAGGTGTTTTTTTTTTTTTTTTTGTTGTTGTTTTGTTTTGTTTTGTTTTTCTCGAGACAGGGTTTCTCTGTAGGTTTGGAGCCTGTCCTGGAACTCTATTTATAAACCAGGTTGGTCTCAAACTCACAGAGATACTCCTGCCTCCGACTCCTGAGTGCTGGGATTAATGGCATGCACCACCACCGCCCAACCTCCAATCAGGTGTTTTTGACAGGCGCAGTAACACAGCTTCAGAGTTAAATAAAACATAAAAAAATGCAACACATCTTTGCATCATTAAACAAATATTCCATAGTATAAATAAATATAACACATCTTAAACTAATATTCCACAATAGTTCCCTGCCACCAGAGTCAATTTCCTGTTGCTACTATGACGTTATCATTACCATAGTGGTCCAGTCCAGCCATTCAATAATGCATAATTGTGCAGGTTTGAAGTCACAGTCTCTAGCTAATGAAGGGATGGGCAGGGAGCACTTCTTCCTAACTTCCAGCGTCTGAGGACACTCATGCCTTGGCTCTTGGCCCCTTCATTCTTAGATCTAGTAATGGCAAACAGTTCTTAAATCACACACTCTGACCTTTCACTTGCCAATCTTTCTGTGACTTGGGGCCTTGTAATGATGCTGGAGACGGTGCTGTCCCTATAGTCAGTAGTTGGTGTCTCTATTTGCCTTTGGCCATTTTATTGGTTACTTGTCTTATTGCTGGGACAAAATACCTGACAAAGCAGTTTAAAGGTGGGTTTGTTTTGCTCATACTTTCATGTCCAGCCCATCAGGGAGGGAACCTGTGCAGAAGCTTGAGCAGTGGACCATCAAAATCAGGAAGCAGATGCATACTGGTCCTCAGCTTGTTTTTTCCTTTTACTCACTCTGGGACCCCAGGCCATAGGATGGGGCTGCCCAACCACCTCACTTAAGCAAATTTAGAAACTGCCTCGTTCACAAGCATACTCAGAGGTTTCTAATCAAATTGATTGTTAATTGTTAGAGCCAGGTAGCCTGGAAGAACCAGAGCCTCCAGGATTCAGACTTCACAGAGGGCATCTCTGTGCCCACTCTTATCTCTTGCCCATCCTTTACACTGCCTGGGTATTCTACAAAGCTCCCCTCTTCTTTCCCTTCCCACCAGCCCGCTCCCAAATAACCACACAGAGATGTCTTATTATGAAAGCTCAAGATAGTGGTGGTGCATGCCTTTAATCACAGCAGAGGCAGGTGGATCTCTGTGAGTTGGAGGCCAGCCTGGTCTACAGAAAGAGTTCCAGGACAGCCAGTGCTACACAGAGAAACACTGTCTCAAAAAACACACACAAAAAATAAAAGCTCAGCTAATAGCTTAGGCTTGTTTCTAACTATCTGTTATAACTTAAATTAACCCATTTCTATTCATTTATGTGCTGCTATGTGGCTCATGGCTTGCTACCTCATCTCCTATATGTCCTATATGTCATGCTTCCTCTGTGTCTCCTTGCAACTCTGACTTCCCAGAATCCTGTGTGCCTGGAGATCATGCTTAGCTATTGGCCATTCAGCTCTTTATTAAACCAACCAGTGTGACACATCTTCACAGTATACAAAAAGGTTATGTAACAACACAGGGTCTTCCTATGTAGTTCTGGCTAGCCTAGAATCACTACACAAATCAGGCTACCCTCAGATCGGCCGGTATCTACCTTCCTGTGCTGGGGTTGGTTAGAGGCCTGTGCCACTGCAGCCAGCAACACTGCACTCTAATTGTCTGACCAGGCTCTGTCACACTCCCTGCACTGGGCTGGCTGGACTGGCTGCCTTGCAGGGGCCAGGGACCAGGTAAAAGGGATCTGGCCATGTGGAGTTCTGGCTCATGGTTACCTCAGAACCTTGGTAGAACTTGATTGTAGCCCAGTTCACTTAGGTCCTACCCAAGGAGCTAATCCTGGTCTCTGGTTGTTTCATGGTATAAGTGCACAATATGTCTCCTGTACTCACAAGCATCACACAAGACCTTGAAACTCTCTCTGTGCCCACTACTTGATGGCAGGGTTGAGAGCATTGTACCCCACCCTGTGCTAACCAGCTGTACCTTGACAGAGAATGGAAGCAGGAAGGACAGCACAAATGAGATTGAATGCTAAAGGTGCTTAGGGTTTGGAGCCCAGATCAATTCCAGGCACCCTTGAGATAGCCAAAGAGGACTTGGGGAGGACCTACATAGGGAATGATTCCATAGATGCATTGGTGGCCAGTTCTCCAGTTTTCAGGCCATGGCTGCCCCTTCACACACTGCTACCTGACAGTTTTTTTTTTTTTTTTTGGGTTTTTGGAGACAGGGTTTCTCTGTATTGCTTTAGAGGCTGTCCTGGAACTAGCTCTGTAGACCAGGCTGGCCTTGAACTCAGAGTGATGGGTGTTCTGCCTACTGAGTGGTGCTCAGTGGTTCTGTGGGTGCTGAGTGCCCAAGAATTGGGCACTGGAGTGGAGCTGTGCTGGCACACTCCTTTAACCCCGGCACTGGGGAGGCAGAGGCAGAAGGAACTCTGAGTTTGAGGCCAGCCTGGTTTACAGAGTGAGTCCCAGAGTAGGCTCCAAAGGTACATAGAAACCTGTCTTCAAAAACAAACAAGTTGAGGAAGGCAGAGAGGTGAGTGACCCCAGCCCCTTGAAGAAAAGTCAGCCTACAACCAAGTTGTCCAAGGGTAGGCATATCAGTCAACTTTTTAGGGGAAGTGAGTGGAGCTGGGACACAGATCACCAGGAAAACACAGGACACTTATGAAGATATACCAGAAAAGGATCAGTGACCAGCACAAGCTTCCAGGAGCACATCTGCACCCTCCCCCAAGCTCAGCTTCAAGGTAAATGGAACAGGAGCATGGCAGACATGAGCAGCCTGGCCCCAGGCTAAGAGTAGATTTCTGTACAGATCCGCACTGCCATCCTCATCCCACTTGGGAAGCCCTTCAGAAGTTCCTGGCATTTCCACCCTGCTCAAACTCATCCCACATTTCAGAGAACACAGGTGGATTATCCAGCTGCATCTTTAATTGTGATAAAGGGCTGAGCCTGGGTCTCACAGGTTCAATTTCAGTGCCAAGCGGTGAATGAAGGAACCATTTTTCTTGTGCTCTCAGAGGAACAGCAGGCTCAGCTATGACCAGCAGGGGGCAGCTGAGCCCTCCCTTTCTGTTGGGTCTCATGCATCATGAGCCAGCATTTCTGGTCTGGCCTGGACCAACAGGCCAGGAGCAGGAGTGCCTCAACCTACAGAACCCACACTCTGACTCTTGATGGCCAGGGCCTTCCTCCTGCCTCTGGGTTCTGGAACCCCAGTATCCTTGAATGGATTCTACTTTGAAACCTGTTTTTCTATAAAATGACAACTCAGTCAAAATATTTAAAACCACACACACACACACACACAAAGATTAAAGCCAGCAGGACTTTCGAGAAACCCAGAGGTGGGCAGACCTTAAGGATAATCACCACCCTTGTGTTCCCACCCCACACCTTCCAGCTTCCCAGCATCAGGGCCTCCCCAAGCCGCATTTACTGAGCCTCCTTTTTCACTTTTTAATACTGCCAGGGATCAAACCTAGGGCCTTGTGAACCCAGGTGAGCACTCTGCTGCTGAGGAACTCCCTTGATCCCAAATTTAAATTATTTTACATAAATATGACACAGTAGACCAAAGTTCATCTCTAGGACTTCTCTGCCTCCTGCCACTGGCGTTTGGGTGGTGGTGTCAGTAAGGACACTCACCTTCAGCCAGTGAATACTGGCCTCCTATACAACAGCAAGATCAGCAGAGGGTTTTCCCTCTGCCCACTGTGCAACTGGCAGAGGTCCTGGCTTTGACTGTTTATGGATGGCACTCAGTCCAAAACAAGGTTGTAGAAGGTTCAAGAACAGTTTACGGTACCAGTATGTGTGTTCCCTATAGTGGCAAGCACATCCTGGGGTGAGGACATTCCTGTTTAAGTGACCTATGTGCACACAGCTGGTCAAGAAGGGGGAAGGTGTAAGGATTCAGGCATTATGCTGACCTGCCCCTGTCACCTGGCAAAATGTACTCAGGCAGTACCCTGGTCAACCCAGTGTTCCATGGCAGCTATGTCACTGGTCATTACAGAGTCTGCACACAGGTGCAAAGGATCCTTTAAAAAGAAAACCCCCAGCTGGAGAGATGGCTCAGCTGGTAAAGGCTAGGCTCACAACCAAAAACATAAAAAAGAAAAACCCCACCCACTTCTGCTCTTTCCCAGTGCTCCTCTGAAGAGGCAGACAGGACTTTTCCTGCCTCCCTCTTCTCTCTCTCTCCCTCTTTCTCCCTGCCTCCCACCATGGAACCCACCCTTTGGGTACTCCCTCACCCAAAATTCCTAACAGAAGGGCGGGCTTTTGGAAACCAGTGGTGAAATATGACAGGATGTGAGCAGATGGTCCCAGAAGGGCTGCTGCCAGAGTTTCTGGTGTGTGGACTTAGGGAGGGGCTGGGAAACGGTGCACCAGGGAATTGAGGAATCTAGGAAAGCCAGGCCTTGTCAGTAGGTAAGCATCAGAGGACCGTGGGGGTTACTGGAGGCCTAGGGTAAAAAGCCTGTGAGCTGGACACCCCAATTCCATCTGGAAGGGCTGAGAAAGGGTGACACTGACAGGTGAGTGAAAGAGGCCTGGAGCCCAAGAACCTGGGGCCAGGTCAGGCTAAGTGCTCCGGAATGTAGGAATGTGGGGCCTGCCAGGAACACGGTACACGGAGCTCTGAGTGTCTGGGGCTGACATCAGCCAACTTACTTTTTGCAAGTCATGGCAGGAGGCCTAGCTTAAAGGGTTCCCAACCCCCAGAGGCGGCAAAGGGCTTCTGAGATGAGCCCACAGACCTCCACACGCCCAGGAAAGGGGGTCTCAAACCTGAGCCGCCTCTTGGGGTGTCTGATGACCCCCTTCTCCTTTTCCTGCCCTTAGACCTGAAGTGGCCAAGAAAATAAGGGCAAAGAGGCAAGTCTCCTTGGCCTTACAAACCTGGACAACAGAATCCGCCGGCCCCCTCCAGTGACCTCTCCCTCAAATCCCTTCTGCCCTGCCGCAGGCAAAGCCTAAGTGAGAAGTTTTATTAGAAAGGGAAGGGGGAGGTAAAGAGACAGAGGACAGAAGAGGGAGACAGGAAAAGTCCTGTCGGTCCCAGGGTAACATGGGGAAGAGAGGTGTACGAAAGAGCGTAAGTGGGCGGGGCCTTACTCTTAAAGGGGTCCTTTGTACCTGCATGCAGACCATGCAACCATGTAACCCTGGCTGACCAGGGTACTGCCTGAGTGCATTCTGCCAGGTGATAGGGGCAAGCCAGCATTATGCCTGAATCCTTACAATGGGGTGCAGCAGACCTAAACCAATCTACAAATATTTATCAAGAGCCTCACAGGATTCAGGATCACCTTTAGAAAACATAAACTGTGAAGTCTCCCACACCAGGGCTACCTCCTGCCAGAGCTCTTGTGGGGCCCGAGATCTAGAATACAATGGACAGAAACTCCACTCCCCATAGGGCAACTTCAGGGGGCACAGATTGATAACTAGGGCCTGGAGTCTCACTGAGAGGTGACTTTGTGGCCCTGGTGGACAGGGAGCTACTGGGTGACATGTTTCCATAAAAACAATATGCTTCCGGATTTGTGAAACGGGGTGGGGGAGAAGAGCACCCCCTCCCTACCCTCCAGCCACACAGGAAGAGCATAGCAGGCTTGGGGGCAGGGCCTGGATTCTTTTCCTGCTGAGGCTGCGGCAAGGCCAGGAGATTAGGAGAGGATGGCTTCCTGCCACACACAGTGACTGCGCAGTTTCCTGATCCACACGTCTCAGGGCTCAGTGTGAAGGAGCCCAGGCTGGGGTGGCCTCTAGCACCAGGAACTGGGTCCATGAAGGATGGGGGCTGGAGTTCTGGAGTTTTCTCTAGTGGTAAAAGCAATGCTGGTTTGGCCTTGCCTTCAGGGCACACCTGAAGCCATCCCTTCCCTAGGTTGTGGATCAACAGGGCCGAGCTGAATTCCAAAGATGGGGAGGCCAGTGGGGTCTGCCATGTCCTTGAGAAAGGGCTTGGGAGAGAGAGGCCCCCACCTAGAACCAGATGTCACAAAAGGGGTCCCTTTCTACTCTTTGCCCTCTAACCCAAAATCCCATGGTAAGGACACCGGCTCTGCAGTCGGCGCCATTCAGCCCCACCCTTCTGCAGTCGGCGCCATTAAGCCCCACCCAAAGCCTTGTTTACAGTCTCCAGAAAGGCTATGTTTGATCTGGGAAATCTGGCTGCTGCAGTTGATGCCCTGCCCTTGTCCTTGAGCATGGTGGAAGTCATCTGTGCAGAGGGAAGCAAGTAGAACCTGGGGAGGGAGTGTGTGTGTGGAGGGAGGGGTGTGGGGGGGGAGGGTGTGTGTTCACCAAGAGTGGTCACAGCCCCTGTCCCCAAGTCCTCATCTCTCCCCTCAAATACATTGTCTTCCCAAGGAAAACTGTCCTCAAGACCAGGAACCTCCGATCCTGCCATATTGCCCTTGGGGACTGGGGACAGTCACTGGGCAGTTGCAGACATGAGCACACAAGTGCCCTGTTTATGTGTGACCAAGCAACCAGACTTTATACAACCCTAGTTTTGTGTGGCACCAACCAGCCCTAACCTACTCTTTAAGAAAAAAGTCTTAAAGTTGTTCCTGAGACGGAGGAATGGCGTTTGAAGGACATTTTGAGACCAGAGGTGAAGAAAACTCCACGGTCTCTGGAGGAGACTGAACAATCAATGTCTAAGTGCCTCAAAGAATGACAGCACAGCTTGGTCCTGCAATGCCTCAGGGGAAGTCTCTCAGGCTTGGTTTCATAGACGCCTCCCAGCTTTTTAGAACATTTTAACAAGCAACTCAGTCACCACCCTCCATCACCCACGCCTGGAAATGTTGCCAGGATAAAGCAGAGGGGACAAAAAGCGACATAGTGGTAAATGCCTGTAGTCCCAGCACTGGGAAGATTAGGGCAGGGGTATTGCCATGATGTGACAACGTCTGGAAGTAAGTAACGATTTTGGAAATAAATCAATAAGAGACTGATGGGTCAGACCTTGGGGAAGGAGGCTACGTGACATAAGAACCAGGCTAAGTACGCACCAGTTAACAAGCCAGTGCTTGCCACATCATCTGTACTGCTGGTCATATGAGGGAGTCACCAGTTTTCCGGGAACGGGAGGGTGCAGTCCTCGCCCGGCCACGCTTGCAAATTCCATCTGCCACAGGCACATCCCTCTCCCCCAACCCCCATCTCCACCACTCCCCGGTTTTCCCCTCCTGGTTGTTAAGGAGGCCTGTTGTCCCGGGGTGGTTTTGTTTGTAGTGTGGGTGGTGAGCCTGGGAGGAGACTTCCGGGCAGGTGTCCTGCCAGCTGCTTTTTTTAATTCAGTTTACTTGAACTGTCCTAACAGTACCCCCCCCCAGCTGGAGAGGGGGTGGCATCAGAGCCGAGGAGGGCCCCTCATTGACACTTTTCAAAACCACCCCAGTCTCTCCCTGCTCAGCTTTGGGAGAGGTGCTAAGGTTTGAGGACAAGGTCTAATTTTGAACCTGGGCTGGGCCCCACCCGAAATGAACAACCAAGCCTGCACCACAGGCCATAAACTGTCGCATAGAAACGAGGCTTTAATCATTTTTCTAATCACCCCACTCCCAAAAGGAAAAAGATTTTAAAAATTACTTATCTGTGCAGGCTGCCCTGTAATCATCTGCATTTCATACACACACGCATTCTCTGTGTGTTTGGCACAAAAACCTTGCTTTTACCATGGTTTGTGATCACCTTTCCCCCAAACACTAGCTATCTCAGACCCAAACTAAGTGTCCTACCCTAGGGTGCTGGCCTACCTCTTCCCCTCCCCCCCCGCCCGCCCGAGCCTGAGATGACGTCACCGGGCGAGCAGGAGGCGGCAACGCCCGAGGAGTCACGCGCCCGGCCCCACCCCCACGCCTCACGCGCCTCCGCAGAGATCCCTCCGCCACCCAGTGGAATTTTCCAGGCGCTCTGCCGGCCCTTCTTTCGAGCCTCTGTTGGGCGTGGTGACCTGATGTAACCTGTACTTTTCCTTCTCCCCTGCCTGTCAGTATGGCCCCCCTCAGCCTCCCACCCGACTATTCTGGAAGAAGTCAGACCTGCCCACTCAGGCAGCAAAGGAGAACAGTCCTTGATGGTGTTCCCCTCCCAAATATCTTCAGACTTGTCCTTCATCCAATGACGCACTGCTGAGGTGCTGAAAGGGATCATTGAGCAATCAGAGGGAGTGGCCGTCTATGGAGGCTGTGACCCGCCCCTCGGGGGCTCCTTTGGAACTTTTTTTTTAAGTGTCCGTGGAGGAATCGTCCCGTTGAGCGATGCCTGGGTGACGCGACCCAAGGCTATAAAAGCAAAAGTTGTGTCCCTCACCAACAGGAGTTAGTGAGAAGAAGGGCTCCCTTTTGGGTTTAGTGGTGGGGAGGAGGAAGTGGGTAGTTCAGGACTGCAGATGAGAGATGACAGAGCTACAAGCAGCCACTAGCATGGGGGTGGGAGAAGGGCCTTTAACTAATAAGGAGGCAAGGTGTTGGGACAGTGGTCGTGTGGACGGCAGCTTCCAAAGCGCCTTCAACAACCCACACAGGGGCAGTAACCTTAAAGACCAGGCTGGCCCTGCGGTCCGCTGGAGTGGGGATACTTGACCTCCAAGAGGGCACAAGTCTCACGGGCCTACATGGGCCGTGTCTAACTTAGTGACAGAGCAGGTGGTTAGGACAGGTGGACTCGGGCCCTTGAGGCCCTGGATGTCAAGAAATATAAGCAGTAAAGGCAGGGTTAGGTGGGCAGTGGGGATCAGCTTTAAACTTGACAATACCAGCAGAGCCCTTTTTTTGCAGATAGGGGTTGTGTACCTGCCTGGGGATGAGGCCTGTTATGAAAAGTGGACTTAGCTTCACGGGGCTGACAGCTCTGGCCCTGGGTGGTATGTAACTTGGGCTTGGCCTGACAGCACCCAGCTCTGGGTGTGAGGGGTGGCCTGAGGTGTGGTTGTCGAGGAAAGGAGTTATCTGTAAAGTTTGCTAGGATGGGGCCACCGAGACTGAAGGCGCGCATCTTGGGGCCACGTTGATCACAGCTTTATTTTTCAGGTGGCAGTCCCCCTCCCTGGACTTTTCCTAGGTTCCGTGGGCCCCTCTTCTGTGATCTCTTCCCCTTCTCTCCCTTCTAACTCTGAGGGTATGGGTTCACTTAGAACCTTGCCTCTGGTCATCTGGTAAGCCTGGGGAAGGTAGAGTTGGTGGCGGAGTCTTCTCCGCATCTTGGTATTACTGGTAAAAGTATTGCTGGCTGGGTGGGGAGGATTGGTGTTGATTAGCAGAGGGTGGGGCTTGAATGTGGACCCTCGGGTGGGCTCGCTCGTGGTTTCAGTCACCCAAATGCCTCATGGACGTGGTTTATTGCTGTAGTGTTCATCATGGCAAGCAGATGGCACCAGGAGAAATGCAGCCCCTGCCAGTGTGAGTCGTAGCAGTGCAGGAGGGCACACCCTGGAGGAGACAGCCACCTAAGTCGATGCCTACACAGTGAATTCCAGAGGCTTAGGAAGTTCTGCGCTGCCATGTGTCCAGGAGGCCATCGTTTAAGTGGTTCAGATCAGCTAATCAGCTAATGGGAGCTAATCAGCTAATGGGGGTTGGGACGGGCAGATGCTTCCGGTTGGAGGGGCTGTCGGCAGTGAATGTTCCAGATGAATGAATGTCTTGTTCTGGGAGCACCAGTCTCCGGATGCATGAATGCCAGCCAACATCACCTTTCCTGGGGGTAGAGGCATTCGGCTGCTGCATCTTCTAAATCAAGCCTCCAGTCTTTAGTTCTGTGCTACGAACTTGGCTTCCAGAAGATTGCTTAAGGTGTAGAACACTTTAACTTTGTCCTCAACACAGCACGATGCCTTGTAGATGGTGTTTGCCGGAGGAGCCCGGTGACCTCGCCCACCTTCCCTTCAGCCTGCCTGCCTCTGCATTGGTCAGAGGCATTCATAAGTGTGAAACTTTTGGGCGTTAGGGAAAGCTGTTCGATTTTAAATGATGGAAGTGGAGGAGTATTAGTGAAGCCGATTGTTAAATGGGTGGGTGTTGTGTTTTAAAAGTACGAAGGGCACAAGTTTTGTTGTCTAACTTGGTCATTGGGGTGGTGTCTGGTAAGTGGTGCACCGGCCTACAGTGGTGTCTGGGAATTTCTTTTTCTGTGGGTTTGGTTTTGGTACTGGGTGGTGTGCTACTGTTACCCCACTGAGTGACAGCACCTAGCAGCCACTTGTTTCTGTTCACTAGTTTCTCACTTGGCCTGACCTCACTCAGCTCTCAGTCCTGCTGGGATTACAGGTGTCATCTAAAACTCCATCAGTTTTACTGGGTCAGGCTTCAGAATATTTTTGGCACCAGAGGTGGGACTTGCTGGCAAGAAAACAGGGTTCAGCTTGGCATTGGTCTCTTGGCCAGAGGCTTGATGAGGGGTTGGGAGTGCTGGAAAAGTGCAATTGGAAATGGGGGTTGATGGGAAGAACAGTTTGGGAACTAAAAGCTCTCATAACATGTAAAAGTTGATGCTAAATCCTTAATGTGGGTGAATGAATTGTTGAGGCGCAGCAACAGTTCCCTCTAAGACAAGGGGGAAAAGCAAAATTGTTTTGCTGTTAAAAAGACAATGCTGAAGTGTGGGGTGGGACGGGGATGTTGGGAAGGGCTTGTAAATGCCTACATTGTGGGCTCTTATATATAGCATTGGCCTTTGTACTAGAGGTTGACAGACTCGGCTAGGTTTATAATTTAAATCATATCAGATACTGTGGTTAATTCTAATGCTGTTCTATCTAAAGGGATTTTTAAGAGTCATGCCTTATGATGAAACATCATTTTTGGGATTGGCCGGAACACTACAGGGGTTGTTATATTTGACTAATAAATCAGTCATTGTGACAAGGGGACATAGCTTTGCACTTACTATGAAATTATAATGTTTGGCAGGAAACCTGATCCACGTACATTTGCAAAGGCTTCAATGAGTACATTGTGTTTTTAGCTTGAATGGTGCTTTCAAACAATCCCTGAGCAGAGGGGAAAGAAACTAATTGTCAAAAGAGTTTGGGAAATAAAACTCAAACCAGGTGTTGCCGGGGACATCTTCATAGATAATGTAAAAAATGGCTCTGAAAATCCTTGGTGTCTGAAGTGGTAAAGGTAGCAGCCAATGGCTTTTTCTGTTGTCTTTTCCCTTAAAATCAAGTCGCCGCCAGCACTCGTTGTCTTCTGGGTTGGTGATATTTTTGTGTTTTATGTGATTTAAAATGGTGTGACTAAGGAATGGTCACTGTCATTGGAACACCAAGGAGTGTTGGTCACCTTGGAATGGGGAAATGTGGAGACTTGTCCCAGATGGCCACAGCACCCTCTTGTTCTCTGTACTAAAGTGTTCTAAAGTGTACCTGTACATAGCCACTAATCATTTTTCTCCTTTACAGCAAAATAAAGGTTTGAGATCAAAACTAAGAACTATTGTATGGCTGTTGCATTTTCGACCTCTGCCACTTTGCCTGCTTTAGTTAGGCCTGGACTCACTGTACCAGCTGTAGCATTGAAGCCCTTAAAATAGGTATCTAAAACTGGTCTGGGCAGCCTGTCGGCTTGGAGGAGGGAGGGGCTGCTCGCTGTTGGGGGCTGGTAAGGGCTGCAACTGTGATGCTGAAGCCAATGGGATAGGGAGTCCTCTGAACATGATAATCCAGAACATTCCAGGTTCTATTTCAAATGGTATGGTTTTGTTTTGGGGAAAACTGTCTTAACGATGTGGTCGGAGTTTTTCAAAATTTTTCACTCTTTTGGAAGTTGGTGTGAGCTTGAGAATTGAATATGGACATGTAATTCTCATCTGCCTAAGGAGTTACTGTGGGGAGGGTGTGGGCAGGAGCCCTTGGAATCCAGGGAGTGTCTGCAAACTTTATCATGCCTGTGTATCATGGAAACCAGCTTGTACATTAATTGGGCTGTATGTGTCATTACAACTGGAAAACATTGTTGCTTACAAGCTTAGAATAGCATATGACCAGCCTCTGCTAGGACTGGGGCCTGCTGGCTAAAAGTAGAGGGTGGCCTGTGGCTCTGAAGTGAACTGTGGTCTTGGTGAGAGTGAATTTTGAACTAGAGTTGGGTGGGGTCCAAGCAGAAGGTGGGGGGGGGGTGTCTACCGTTCTCCCTGAGAGCAGTGAGACTGGCTGCTGTCCCAGCTACTCTGTATCAACTTCTTCCTACTTGTCAGTGACCTCTCCCCTATATCAGAGTGGGGTGTCTCGGGAGCTTGTGTCTGGACTTGTGACACTACCCAGAGTAGGAGCTGCTGCAGATGAGAGCGAGCGGCTCCTCTTTCTTTTTCGTATTTTGAGACAAGGTTCACTAGCAGTTGCCTCCTAAGTGCTGGGACTAGAGGTGTGTGCACTGCCGTGCCCTGTCTACTTGCTCTTTCTAGTCTGGTCTATCCTGGCCTCTTCCTGGATTCTTACCTGTCCTCTGCACCTCCATCTTCTTTCTAGAACCCTTAGGTTTTATACTATTAAGCCTCCTGATGTTCTGGGGTAATGGGCTGGTTAGAAGTGGCGTAGAGACAGGATAACCAGAGGCTGAGCAACCCTGTGTGCAGAGTTGGAGGACTGTTGGCTTGGGTTTTGTTACTTGTTCTGAGACAACCTAGGTTGTTATAGAACTTAAACAATCCTCCTCCCTCCCTCAGCCTCCAAGGTGTTGGAGATACAGACATGAGTCATGGTGTCCTGAAAGGTCTGGTCTTTGCCCTGGGGTCCTAAATTATTGGATGACCATATTCTCAGGAATCCTCAACCTCAAGTCTGGGTATGGGCTCATTCTTTGAACTCCCAGAGGCAGCAGTTGACCTGGAATCCAGTGGTGCTGACCCTGTGTCAGCAGAGAATGAAAAGCAAAGAATGTTTTTATGTTTTGTTTTTTTTTTTAAACGAGATAAACGGGACTGAACGCAGCTATTGGTTGACTCTGTTTAGATGTTGCCTGCTAGAAAAAGGGATAACACTTTAACCCTGACTTCTGCCTTTGGGTTTGTCTTATGACCTGTAAATAGACCAAAAGGACCTTTAATGTGGGCTAACCTGTGGGCATTTGCCAAGGGCTGCAGAAGCATTAACTCTGGGTGGCATCCATGTCTTAGCTGCTGTGACTGAAGGAAGAAATGTAGGGACTTCCAACAGGTTAATGTTTGTATGTTCATCTCAATATGGGTGCAAACTGGTGTTGTCACGTAGAAGAGAACTAATAAAGCCAAAATGAGTTGTTCAGATGGGATCCTGAGTCCTTCCTTAAGCAGGGTGTCCTCACAGCTCCCTGCCCTTCCACACCTCCTCTCTCAGTTCCCAACCATGAAGAGGATTTACTGTAAATGTGCAAATAAGCACATGAGGAAAATGTCCATTTGTGTTCCATTAACAGGTGTTATTGGCATATTTGTTTCAGGTTTTCCTTTTCCTGGGCATCAGCTATTTGTGCCTTTACATGAAAAGTGGCATTGTACTTAAATCCTATCTTCTACTTGTTTCCCATGATGCATGGTGAAAATCTTGTCTTGATAGCCAAAGCATCTTTGTGGTGGTAAATGCTGTTACATGATTGTGGATTTAAATCATTTCACTTAAATACTGACGAATGGGGGAAGGTCAGAGAATGACTTCCAGGAGTTGGTTGTAGGGATGAAACAATCAGGCCTGTGCAGCAGGTGCTTTCCCCTGCTGGGCAGGCTCACCTGCCTGCCTGTAGCTATTATTTTCCTTTTAGGAGATGATGACTCGACTTGGAGCTCAAGCTTCGTATCTCTTGCTCCTTTGAGATACCCACGGCACTTTCTAGAAGGAAATGACTGCCAGTCTTCTTAACATTAGGTTCATATTGCTCAGTTGCTGTCCAGAGGGAATTTTTGAGTTACTGTTGTGTGGGCACCTCTGTGAAGATGGTGTGTGTGTACTGCAAGTGGTATGGCCCGCCAGTGTGCTTTTGTGTGTATGCCATTTGCTATGGTTACCATTAGCAGGTTATTTGAATGTATTCATTGATTGCTACTTTAACATTTTTGTGATAAGATGCACTCAACAGAAACTTCAGCCATTTGTAAGTGCAGTGGTGTTAAGCAGATTGAGTTGGTCAACTGACCTCCAGACCTTGCAATACCTGAAGCTACCTACTAGGCAACTTAAAATGTGGGGCCACTTTTCCCAGTCCCTTTATGTTTCTATGAGTGACTGTTCTAGGTGCCACATGTACATAGACTCATATATTATCTTTTACATTTATTTTTACTGTGTAGGCATGGTGGGGGGGGGCGGTCAGAGGACAATCAGCAGGAGTTGGTTCTCATTCCTCCATGTAGATCCCAGGGGTCAATCTCAAGTGATCAGGCTTGCACTACCAGCAACTTTATTCACTGCAAGCCAGTATTTTTCTTGACTAGTTGTTTTGCTTATACAGTATCTTTATAGTTCATCTTGGTTGTGTGATTTTCTTGGCTTTCATACAAGCTAAATAATGGCTATTTGTATATTTTTGAGTATCTGTGTGCTGATGAGCACACTTAGGTTGCTCCTATCCTTGGGCCTATTGCTGTTATGACTTCTGTAGTGGGGATGGTACACAGACACATCCTTCTGGGGCTATTTTTAGTTATTTAGGATACAGCACAACCATCCTGGTGGATATAAGGTGAAATTTCATTGTGGTCTTCCATCCCATGTACTTACTGATATGTAGATTTGAGGAAAATGTCCATTTCAAGTCCTTTCTATGTTTAAAAGGTTATGGATTTATTACCATTGTTGACCTGCAGAGACTTGTGTGTATTCTGAATATTAAGTCTTATCAGATGTGATTTGGCTAATAGTTCCCCCATTCCATAAAGTTGCCTTATGGTCTGTTAAGTTTTTATAGTTATATGTATTGTTTTTTGTACGTTTATGCTGTGCACGAATTCACTCATAGGCCTGTCTGTGCCAGCACTCCTGAGGGTCAGAGAACAACTTGGGAGTAGACTCTTCCACTCTGGATCTGAGGGATTGAACTCAATTATCCATCAGGCTTGGCAGCAAGTGCCTTTACCCATTGGGCCATCTCTGCAGAACTTTCAAGTTTTAATTTTTAATGTGGGTTTGCTTTGGTTGCCTGGACTTTGGGCATAATATCCAAATCATTGCCAAATTCAACATTGTAAAGTCTGTTGCTCCTTCAGTTGTTGCTGTTTAAAAAAATAAAACAAAGAAGAAACAAAACAAAACACTAACTAGGCAAATACTCTTTACCACTGAGTTACATCCTCAGACCTTATAAGTGCTTTGTTGTAATCTACATTTCTGTAATTATTGGCATTTTATGTCTCTGGCCTTAATGACCCTGCACTGTTTGTGTAGTTAGGAGGACTGGCTTTGACCAGTTCTGTCACATCTATTCCCCTAATTTTCATCTTAAGTGTTATGACCAAGATAAGTCTGACTGTAACTGATGTTGCTTGGAGTTGCTTCTCATTTTCCTTCAACTACTCATGCCTGAGCTTGATCTGTGGACACAGATAACCTCTCATGCAAGTGGATTCCTTCTGCTGCTAGGAATGATGGTAGGTAAACTATCCAGTTTTTCCAGTCTTTAATAATTATGTGTCTAAAGCATTGGGAACTTCAGGCTCTAGTTTTTGTTTTTACAATCTTAATGCCTTGCACTGTTTAAAAGCTGGTAGGAAGATAACTGTGACACTCCATAAGTATCCCATCTATTGTTGAAACTTGAACACACAGACTGGGCTAATCTTAATCTTTGGCTCATAGTGTGGCTCTTTCATTTGCTTCCTATTTTTAATAATTTGTCAACACGTTTGACTCTTGCATCTCTAAAAAGCCTTATCCAAATGAGTTTTCAGAGCATTTATTTTGTTACTTTGTAGAAGAATTGAATTGCCTATAATCTTCTGGAACTGTTTCAGTTGGATAGAATTAATCTCTTTCTGCTGTGTACAGAATTCATTGAGTCCCCATGATGGTAACTGGGTTGCCTCTTTCCTCAGAATTAGAGAAGTAACTCAAAACCCAGAGGTGACCATTATTACAGATATGCTGTATCCTCCTGATCTCTTGTTCCTTTGTCTTTATGGGAGAGAGGCTGTATCATTTCCTTATGTATAACGTTAAAGTGGCACTGCCCACCATCTCATGATGACAAGTGTTTGCTTAGTAATAGTGTCCTGTGAACGTTCAGCTACCACGTTCTTACCCTGGCTGTGCCACAAGTTAAATTCTTGCCAGTGATGGAAGGGTCCTCTCTAATGTTATGGACTTGACAGTTGTACCATGAGATCATCTTCACAGGCAAGTCCTGTGCCTCAATGTCTGAGTGGGTAGCAGTTGTGAGTCAGACAACTGTTGCCCTCCAAAATGATAGGCAGGCCTATGTACCTGAGTATAAGAGGCATGGATTTAGGTCTTATTGGGCACT